CACACCACCTGTCCTCTCCACCTTTTTCTCAACCTCACCCTTCTCCACCACACCATCTGTCCTCTCCACACTTTTCACAACCTCACCCTTTTCCACCACACCACCTGTCTTCTCCACCCTTCTGTTGTTTTTTCATCAGATAACTATCTTCAACAAAGTAGTCTATTTTTTTATGTATATATGTTTTCTTCTAAACTGTGATAAATTTGAAAACATATCTCTTAATGTTTCATAAAATTAGAATATTTAGTGATTGGATAAGAAACGTTAGATAAAGATGACCAAATGTCTGTGCTGTTACTTTTAAGTCTTAACCAAATTTTTTTATTTAGCTTGGAAGATTTGTTCAGCCATAGCCTCTTGAATGCCTGTGTTATTACAAAAGAATTATTTGTGTTAATATGGTAATTATATTATTGATTGGTTATACTAGGAAAGACAGTTTAAGGTGATGATAAGTCTGTGCTGTTACCACGGAATGTCTGTGCTGTTACTTTTTCATCAGATAACTATCTTCAACAAAGTAGTCTATTTTTTATGTAAAGTTTTCTTCTAAACTGTGATAAATTTGAAAACATATGTCTTAATGTTTCATAAAATTTGAATATTGAGTGATTGGACAAGAATAGTTAGATAAAGCTGACCAAATGTCTGTGCTGTTACCAATATTTGTCTCTGCTGTTACTTTTAAGTCTTGAGCAACTTGTTTTTATTCAGCTTGGAAGATTTGTACAACTATAGCCTCTTGAATGTCTGTGTTATTTCAAAAGGAATTATTTGAGTTATTATGGTAATTATATTATTGATTGGTTAAACAAGGAAAGACAGTTTAAGATGATGATAAGTCTGTGCTGTTACCACGGAATGTCTGTCCTGTTTACATGTTTGAAGGTAACAGCACAGACAGTAACAGCATAGACAAATTGACATTAATAACAGTTTTTTTTAATGAGACCTCCCTTGAAATGTTGAGACCACATGGCATTGTGAACAGTTCATATTTTCTAATATTCTGAAAAAATGGTTTTAGAAAAAAATATTTGTTTTGGCAAAAATGAGCAGTAACAGCACAGACATAAGAAAAGAGTATTCATGATAGCACTAAACTTCCCTGTCAAGCAGAATTATCCAAAGTCTTCTCTCACTTGAAGGACACTGCTGCCATGATAGTACAGGAAGTAAGCTGTATTTCTGTTATTTTGAATTATGGGAATCTTGAAGGATTATTTATTTTTCAGTTTTGATCCATCCTGGTAACAGGACAGACACTTTTTTATGTACAAGTGTTTCTTACCAAAAACCAATATAAATAAAAGAGTGTATCTTCAAAAGATAAGTTTATATCATGAGTTAGAAAGGTAATGTACAATATATAAACATTATTTACATAATATTTTTTATTTTTAGCAACATTAAACAATGTTGATGTGCAAACATAGGGTTACGGACACACCCTTCAGCTCAATTTAACCGCAATTAAGCAGTTTTAATTAAAATAAAATACCTAATAAGAAATACTGAAACTTAACTTTCAGACACCATGGTATGTTCTACGAAAAACACTTGTGTTTAAACATATCTAAAATAAATATTTTAATTGTTATTCAACTCGGACTAAAAAACTCACTTTTTTTGAGAATGACCCATATGTGGCATAGAAATGTTTGATCTGTCACTGGATATCTTAATGCCATCGGATAGCACAATGACTTGTGATTCTTAATCATGTTTATAGATCAATAATGATGATAATCATGATAATGGCAATTTGTCGTTTGCCTAAATAAATATGATAAATGTCAGCATAGTTAGATTTCAAATTTTTTTTTTTTAGAATTTGATTTATTCTTTTATTCCTTCAAATTGAGCATTACAAAATATATTGCCAACAAATGGCCAAAAAGGGTTTGCTAAACTTGCTAAATATATGAAATGCTTGGTTCTCATATGCTCATATTTAACCTTTTTTTGTTATTTATTATGATCATGGTGATTATTGTTAGGAAAGACTAACATATTCACTGATTCCATTCAAAATCATTATGTTTTTAAACTGAAAACCTTTCATGTTAAATATTGAATTTGATCAAATTCAAATTCAATCAGTTTGTTTCTACAATTAAACCAACATGACCAATACAGCATGTACAATGGGATTAGTATCTGGAACCATGGTTCCAGACATTCCAAGTTATCTGTAGTCTTTTCCACGTATTTACCATGTTTACCGGTTTTACTTTTTACACAATTATTTACATGATTTAAACCAGTTAAACAAAACCTGTTGTTCACATTAAACTGTTTCACAGCTATGTTGTGCAAGTTGTTGAAACACTTAAAATATTTAAGAATCCACCAGTTCTTTTGTTGCACGGTTCGTGGCAAGACACTTGACTTGGAACAATGACGTCTTGCCAGCCAATTGAAATGCCCAACCAGGCATCACACCACTGTGTGTGCTCATTGAATCGACTGAGATACACGGTCACGGTGACGTTTGTTTGTTGTGACGACAGCAGGTTGTGTTACATATTAATGAGCCGTGAGCACTGATGAAGGTATTATGTGTTGCAACACATGTTGTTTATGGACAGTTGAACATGGCTTTCCTGGGCCTGTAAAGTATTCGGGTCAGCAAAACTGTAAAGTTGACCAAGGATCGTTGTGACATGTGACAAAGCCTAACATGAAGGACTATGCACCTCACTGTGTTGCCCATGTTTTGTCTCAGCCTAACCCCCGGTACAATAAGTACTATGTGTCCAATAACGTATTATTTCTTTCTCAGGAATAAGGATAAACATTAACTGTTACATTTATTGACTTAAAATAGAGCTCTAGCAATCGAAGTAAATGGTATTTGAAAAACTGATCAAACCTACTTGGAACTGCCAATTTGGCCAAGCCTCATTTACCTCATTATTGTTTGTTTGTTTGTTTTGTTGTTGTTTTTTTGTTTTTTTGTTACTACTTTCAGTATTGCTCAGCAATATTCCTGATATATATTGGCGGTCTGTAAATAATCGAGTCTGGAGCCGACAATCCAGGAATTGACATCATGAGCATCAACCAACACAATTTGATAGATGACATGCATCAACCAAGTCAGAGAGCCTGAACACCTGATGCCGTTAGTTGCCTCTTATGACAAGCATGTGTCCTTGTTGAAGGCCAATTCTAACCACGATGTTCATGGATGAGATACCCCAATATCTGCACATAGCATGTATAGAACTCTACTTTCTGTGCAGTGTGGGTCCTGTTTGGGAAACTTGCAGCATTGTTCCCACAGTTAACTCAGGTCACTTGTGCCAACTGTCATGATGTATTCTCATCAGCCTGCAGCTCCAAGGACATGATGGAGTAAGTCTTCAAGGATTGATATGGAAGTTCTGAACTCAAGGCTCATAGAAATATGATGAACACATGAGGAAAAATGAAAGGTTTTGTAAACACATGAACGTGAATTTCTAGATTTATGAAATAAAATCACTTTGTGAAACAAGCCCATGAGAGCATCAAGCCCTTGAACATATTGAGAGCATCAATCCCTTAATCATATTGAGAGCATACATTCCCCGAACATGTTGAGAGCATCAATCCCTCGAACATATTGAGAGCAACAATCCCTTGAACATGTTGAGAGCATAAATTCCTCGAACATGTTGAGAGCATCAATCCCTCGAACATATTGAGAGCAACAATCCCTTGAACATGTTGAGAGCATAAATTCCTCGAACATGTTGAGCATGTTGAGAGCATCAATCCCTCGAACATATTGAGAGCAACAATCCCTTGAACATGTTGAGAGCATAAATTCCTCAAACATGTTGAGAGCATCAATCCCTCGAACATATTGAGAGCAACAATCCCTTGAACATGTTGAGAGCATAAATTCCTCAAACATGTTGAGAGCATCAATCCCTCGAACATATTGAGAGCAACAATCCCTTGAACATGTTGAGAGCAATAATCCTTTGAACATGTTGAGAGCACAAATCCCTCGAACATGTTGAGAGCAACAATCCTGTGAACATGTCGAGTGCATCAATTCCTCGAACATATTGAGAGCAACAATCCCTCGAACTTGTTGAGAGCATCAATCCCTCGAACATGTTGAGAGCAACAATCCCGTGAACATGTTTGAGAGATCAATCCTTTGAACATATTGAGAGCATAAATCCTTTGAACATGTTGAGAGCATCAATCCCTTGAACATATTGAGAGCATCAATTCCTTGAACATGTTAAGAACAACGATCCCTTGAACAAATGTTGAACATGTTGAGAGCATCAATCCCTTGATCATATTGAGAGCAACAATCCCTTGAACATGTTGAGAGCTTCAATCCCTTGAACATGTCGAGAGCATCAATCCCTTGAACATGTTTAGTCTATTATGCAATCTAATTTAAATCAGACCTTAGTTCTCGCTACCGCTAGACAAAGATCTGAAAACATCCCATAAGGGGTCAAGTCAGAACGACCTTTCATCTGACCAATGAGAGTGTCGCTTACCAGATCATGAAAGTAACAGTCGGAATGTGATTTCTAATCATACAACCTCGAAAACTTTCACACGGGGTATTCCGAACGATAGTTACAGGTTTAACGACTGAATCCATACAATTTAGACCATCTACTAGCCATTCCAGAATGTTTGTTTGTTTAGGTTTCAAATTTGTAATCAAGAATTTGTCAAAATATGTTTCGAAGCGTAGTTCCCAATTTGAAATTAGTGCCATAAAGCAGAGAAAGCTGCCTTCTTATTGGTCATTCTATTGGTCGGTCAAAGTTCGTGCAACGTCGGTCTGACGTGACTTGTAATGGGATGTCCTTAGATCTTTGTTTAGCAGTAGCGAGAACTAAGATCTGATTTTAATGAGATTGGTCTATTATCATGATTATGCTTTTAAGAATTCATAACATTCTTTGCATGTTTTTTTCTGTTACCATGGTTACAAGTTTGGTAAAGATGGATGTATTTCTTCTCTTGTGCAGGTGAACGAATACCCAGATTTCCTGACAGGAGCTGAAAGAGAGAACACCCAACATATCACCATAACATACTTGACCTCTGACCACAGGAAACGATCCAGAAGGCGTTCAAAGAAAACTGGATCTCTCTCAGAACTCAGCCTAGACCGGTCTAATGCCTCAACACCACTTGGGTACGCAGAATCTGTAGAAAGCTTCTCCGAGGATTATGGGTACACCACACAGAGCACATGCAGCTTGCAGACCAGCAGGCCAAATAGTCGTGGATCTGTGGCATCAAGCTGGAACACCACCAGCAGCATCAGTAAGAAGAAAAAGAAGCAGCTGAATGACAGTCTGGATCATGACAGCATCCTGCGGTCACTCAAGGAAGAGCTGGAGGAGGACCTGGACACTGATGACCGTCTGGCCACCATCCACTCTGTGCCTTCATCTTCCAAGGGGGCTAGATCTCACAGCAAGAGTCCCCGTACCTCGAAACCTAACTCAGCTTCGAAACGCCCTCTCCCTAGCCCCAGAAGCAGTCCTGCTGATACAACTGTCAGCACGAAGGAGCCAAAGTCCCCACCTACAAACATGGACTCGTCAGAAACCTACACAGAAAATGATTCTTCCACATGTGGCTGTACGACTCTGATGTGTCGGGGTCGGAACAAGAACCAGGTGGTGCCAGTTGTGAATGCTAATAGTGCTCAGATGCTAGACCACAAGGGGGATGTGATCAGTGTTCGGTCAGACAAACGTCAACTTGTGCCAGAAATTGAGGTTGAGACAGACTCTGTGGTCATGAGGTCATCTTCACCTTCCATTCAACATTTTAGTGTAAGTCGGCTGTCGATTGATGGCAGTGTCAGAGGATCTCGGTCAGGGACTCCGGACCTTGCACGTCACAGAAGGTGAGTGGAACTTGTCGCATCATTTTGACATATGTACTTGTAATTGTACATCAAACATGTCTAATTCATAAAAAAAGTATTGTTCTGGTTTTTTTTGTAGATCTGTGAACTATTCATTGACAAATAACATTTTCCATTGTCAATCTGTTGATTGCACAGGATTACCATCCAGTTCTCATGGTCTTTTAAATTCTTGCAACACCAGTCAACCAGAAGCTTTTACTGCTGTGACACTGAGTTCCCAGAGACTCTTGTGTGATAAATGAAGCCAACATTTATTGAGGAAAATATCTGCTTGTAAAACATCTTTGCTACTACATGTTATACACGATTTGAAAGGTCTAATCCTGCTGTTTACATATGAAAGTTTATCACATTTTTTAAATAATGCATTTACAACTTAGTTAAGTTTCTTGAAAATAAAAAAATGTAAGCTAACACATTCATAACGTCCAGATTAAGGACCAAGTAAGTGCAAATTGACGATTTTTTGCAAATATATTAAGATTTCATAAAATCCACTTACTTATTTCTTTTATATTTTCATTGTTTACGTAATCAGAAAATTATTTAAAAAAGAATTATAAATAGTATCTGTCATCCCTCATTTCCCGATAACAGTGGCTTTCTGCTCAGTAACATGAAGAAATACCTCCGTTTTCGAAGTTTTGTCTGAAAAACACGTTCGTCAACGATTGGCATGTGATACATGGATAGAAAGTTTAATTCTTCATCTGTATGATGGTGACTAGGGCTGGGACGGGTAACTCGGGTACTCGGGTCGGGTGGGTCCTGAGTAGGACCCGGGTACTAACATAAATACCCGGACCCGTGGTTAGTCACGTGACATACTGTTTAATGACATTAACAATAAAACTCAATGTTACGCTACAAGTATAGCTAATGTTCACATTTCTTTCTCACTATGCAGGCATTCGTTATTACTTTTATCTGTTCAAGTAAGGATAAAGCGTTTATCAACTGCAGATTATACATGATCAGATTGTTTTATACATGTATCTAAATAGTTTTTGCAAAGGCTGCGGTAAAACAATTCCAATTCGGACATTTTGTACCCAACTCTTGAGACCTATAGCGGGTATCCAGATAGGGCCGGGTAATAGGGTGGCGGGTACCCGGGTAGTAAATTTGGACTCGTCCCAGTCCTAATGGTGACATCACCTGGAGTCTTTTTGTAGCTGTTACATGCAATTTTATTGGATATATATTGGTTTCTAATGACGCTTTCTTACCGAAATCTGCTACAAGTTTGAGCATGTGACTTAAGGCAGCCCATCAAATAACAACAATGGTACCGTCCTTGTTAATGAAGAATTTCAGATTTTGAGGAAAGGTTTTTGTTAAATCGTGTTATTCTGAACATTTTAAGCAGGATATTGCGATCTATATTAAAAATATGGAACTTTGTGGATGTATCATGCTATGTTATGAGCTGTGACAAAGATACTTTATGCATAAATTTTGGCATAAGCATTGTGTCCGAGTTGAGAAATTGAGGCGACAAAAGTCGAGATGTCATTTGACTTCGATTTGATGCGATCGCACGAAAAGATGGAAATAATAACTTAGATGTAAGTTTGACAACCTATAGATATATTTTTGTTGATTTTATTTATTACTTTGTATAATATAATTAAATATTTGCGTGAAATGTCTTTATTTTGCTCTTTGACATGTTCAATGTGGACACGTCGAGAGAATTGAGTGTTCGAGAATTTTATTTTCAATAACTTTACGGGAAATAGTGAATAGTTTTTTAATCTGTCTATAAAAAAATATAAATTGAAATGGAATACGTATTTCAGACGTTGTGAAATGTGATAGATTTAATAAATGAATGATATGACAGGTAGGTTAATAAAATTATATACTATTTCGAAGTGAATATGGCTTGGCTCGTCTACCGGCCTACAGTGTTGAAAGAGTTAAAGTACATGTCTAGCCTGTCTAGACCCATCTTCCCTGGGCAAGCGTGTCAACTAGCCTATATCAAAGCCTAGTTTCTACCCTTGCCACATCAAGGCCACTTTCTTGGCTGAACCCTGGCGCCACCTCGCGTAGATCACGAGTTGTGCCCCTTGTAATGAAAATGAGATATCCAATCAGATCGCTGTTCTTATCTCGTATATCTTCACAAAGATGGTGACTACCATAGGCAACAACCTAGTCGATCAGATAATGAAAACATTCGCGATTTCATCCCTGAAACATAGACAATCGTTTGGGGGTTTAAATGATTTTCGTGTCAACAAAGACAGGCAGCGGTAAATCACTTTCATACGAAGGTGTACCAGTCGTGGATGTTGATTGTGTGAAACGTTCTCTGATTGGACTATCGATATGTGCGATAGCAAGGGTGGAAACAAGACTGATAAAAAGGCTAGTGGAGGCTCTTGCCTCGGGAAGATGGTCTAGACCAGTTCTTTTCAACTTGTTCAAGTTCCTAGGCATGCCAATCTCATTACAATCAGATCTCTTAATCAGATAAATCTCTGCGTGAAGATCGGAGGACACTTCCATGTCCGCAGGTCAAGTCAGGGGAACTTTCTATTCAGCCAATCAGTGTTATAAGGCTTCTAAATTCTTGGTATGAGTGAGCAAGGCAGTCGGACAAGCATATCTTATTTCTGTATCTTGAAAACACAATAAAACAATTGTACAGCGTCATTATATTGTTGTGGAAATTTCATACTACATGTTGTTTCTGAGCTTGCTGAAGGCAATCTGATCTGCACCCATCATGGTGTACCAGGAATAGTTGTGTTCTTTGTGGGTTTTCATTTGATTTCCAAATCGAGGTTTTGAAAAAATGAAGGTGAATCTTCTTAGAAACCTCATAACTGACGGGTTCTGGAACCCATACAGCCTTCAGTTAGATTGAGAGGTCAAAGTTCACTCAGGGTTCACCTGACACTACCTTCTACGGATAAGAACCCAGGAAGATCTGGGGTAGAATAGGTCTTCAGCAACCCATACTTGCCAAAAAAGGCAACATTGCTTGTCGTAACAGGCGACTAACGGGATCGGGTGGTCAGGCTCGCAGACTTGGTTAATGCATGTCATCGATGCCAATTGCGTGGGTCGATGCTCATGATATTAATCACTGGATTGTCTGGTCCAGACTCGATTGTTTACAGACCGTCGTCATATAGCTTGAATATTGCTGAGTTCGGTGTTAAACAACAAACCAACTAACCAATCTACGGATGTGTCTTCGGAACTTGGTTCAGAGAAGTATCTTATCATGCTTATTGGGTTAACAGATCTGGTTTGAAAGAGATTGCAAGATTCTGATGCCACATAAGGTGTTTAATTTGTTGTTGGTTTACGGATCTGCCAACATGAAACATCAGGCTAAAAAAAATTGCTAAAGTCTTTGTTACATCCCTTCAATATGATATATCCCATTGTGCAGTCATTTTGGTGGAAAAATGGCGACATTAATGTTTTTGTGTGAGAAGAGAACAAAGCAAAATTACTTAAACCATCAAACACTGTTATCACCTATGTCATGTATGTAGCTAATAAACATGATAAACAGCAGTGATATAAATTTCTCATGAGCCTTTCAAGGATGTCATAAATTCTTTGAAACTGTACAGGGTTTAACCTATGTTTCTAGATTCCTTAGCATTTAAGATTCTGCTGATATAAATATCAGATATGTAATAATTTGTAGATGAAATGACTCTACTTTATGTATGATTTTAAAATATTTTTTCGCTTTCTGCATGTTCTCGTTCAGAAGTTCTGTTATCATGGTTATTGTATTTTCAAAATGATAAAATTACAATCATGAAAATATGTAGCTATTTATATGTTTCTTAGGTGTTTTTACATGTCTTTGATCACAAAAAGGGTGTAAAAATCAGTCATAAATGCTTTAATTGAATTCCAACCTAGTTATAGAAATTGACCCAAGAAAAGCCACATAAACAAGAGGCCAGTCAAACTGTTTATCAATATAATGTTTATTCATCAGAACAAAATTTTGAAACAACTTTGGTCATGTTCATTTTGTTTTCAGCTCCAGCATCTTGGCGTCAACATCCGATCTCGGTGACTCCATGACAGGCCTGAACCTAGTGGGCAGCGAGGGCGGACTGACCGAGAAGCGTCGCACCTTGCTGCACGTCTACCTCCTCAACCTCACCTCCCCTATGCTCATGCTCATACGCAGTGCCTGGAACAACTATCTCATCGTGAGTGCTGGCAACTATGTTTGGTTGTTTGTTTGTTCTAATGCCGCACTCAGCAATATTCCAGCTATATGAAGGCGGCCTGTAAATAATAGAGTTTGGAAGAGACAATCCAGTGATTGACATAATGAACATAGATGTACACTATAGGGATACGATGACATGCATGAACCAAGTCAGTGAGCCTGACCACGCGATCCTGTTCGTCGCCTCTTACGACAATCATAGTCGCCTTTTCCGTCAAGCATGGGTTGCTGAAGACCTATTCTAACCTGGATCATCACGGGTGGCAACTACGTTACCGTATTCGACGTAATAAGCGCCCAGGGCGCTCTCAAAATTAGAAATAGGGGCTCTTATTAGAATATTATTTTGGTGGAAAAAAGAGAGTTGAAAGATAAATTTCGTGGTTTCTGCTGACACACTGAAATGTTTATATGCAACAGATACATTTTTCCAGAAATTAATTGCCCATAATTAAGAATGCATATAACACACGAGTGCGTATTATACACGAATAAATAAGTCTTGTGTACATTGATCAATCCGAAGGAGTGCTAATTGGGATTGTTCACTAGCCAATATATTAGCAAATATCGCTGTGGGCGCTTATTAGAGCAGGGCGCTTATTACGTCGAATACGGTATTGTATGTGGCAGTTGGCAGTATTTCACTTGTAACATGGCAGCCTGCATATGATCAATGCTGGTCTGGAACAACAATCTCATCGTGAGTGCTGTCACTTATTCTGTCCCTGAATTCCCATATATTTTGAGTGTTGGCAGAGTTGTAAGGTACTGGCCACAGTGTTGAAAATATTCCATGTTGTAACTAGCCCTGTGGACGAGTAGCGCATACCATCAATCGGCATAGATCACATGCCAATAATTATGGGCACTCTGAGTTCAAAGTAAAAGCTATAACAAATTAGAAAATCAGCTGGGACATTCACAAAATTTTTATGGTGGATTAGATTTATATACTTTATTTGGAACAACTGTCTGAAAATAATTGTCATCATCCGATCATCACGATGGTGATGATGGTTGTTACAGCATTCTTCAGGGGTTTACTAGACGCGGAATCCTGGGTCCTGTATGCATACAAATTGCAAATTGACATAAAAGAAATACAGAGGGCATCCACTGGGATGCAGAAAATTTGTACCTATGCATATTCAGCAGTAGAAACTAATATATTCAGTCCACTAGTGCTTATGATGATAACATATAGCAAAACCCTTAAAAACGGCAAATTTCTCCTAGTCCTTATGATACCGTAACTATTGGGCAGTTTTTGTAAGAACTACAGGACTAGTGCCAATTTCTAACACTGCATGTTTAGGAATGAATACTGCTGTTTCATAATTTGACACCTCTTTAAATAATAATTTTGGTATATATATGTAATCATTTAAAATCTTCAGTACACCATGTACACAGTCAAGTGCTTCACGGTGTTCTAGTCAGTAGTGCTAGTCCTTGCAGTTTCACTTGGGGAATTCCATATCTATTTTTAACTAACAACCTCTGAGCATGGGCAAGTTTACGTCATCGGCTTACTGTCTCCGTATTGATGGGGGTGGAGTCTGTGCGTCAAGGCATGGCAAAACAAACAAGATTTGTAATTTTTTTTCGGTCAGGCAAGTTTGAGTATGTCTTTGAGTTCAAACAAACATGAATAAAACTGGTATATTATTTTACAATTTAAATAAGGTAAAAGTTTTTTTAATTTGAATTAACATTGTTATATTCAGTATTAGACATTTCTCAGGGCCCCCATTTTGTAACCTGGGACTAAGGTTGAGAGTCACCTGGCCCCCCAAAATAAGTAACCCTTATACATCTCTGATGCTTGTTTCTAATTGTTTATCGGAGTCATGACGTAAGTTGCCCGACAGATTATGTGGAAACAGGGGTCCGGAAAATTTAAAATCCCAATCGGACATTTGCATTTAGGCCACGCCCCCTTCAAATAACGTATATATTTTCGTACGACTTTTCACACCCATTACAAGATGTTACGTACAGTGTTACCTTGTTATTGAGCGCTTCGGTTATAGCGCGGTAAAGCATGGCTCCCCAAATTTACCAACATTTTTAGTAAACTTTAGTTTTCCAATGACACAATGTTTTCCCCCATCTCAGAAAACATTATCAGCTGATCACCGCGATCACGTAACACCGGAAATACAAGTGAACAAATCCGAACTGAAGAACGCAATTTAATCCTATCATTATATCTGGTAATAAAAAAGTTGTTCACTGTTTATCTGGACTAGAGTTTGCAATATATTTGATTAAGTGGACAGTGGAAAATAATCAGAAAATATAACTAGTTCTTTGAAGCAAAAAGAGTCGCTGTCATCTGTAAGCCTACAGTGTTCCCATATAAATTTCCAAGCTGGCCACTTTCTTGAAAATCTGTCAAATTTATCTCCTATTTCTTCCAAACACAGTAAGTGCATTTATAATCATGATCATGGATTTCCAACTCATTTTGACATGACTCATGCATTCGCCATCGGCCATGCACAAGATTGTATGATGATTGTTAATGTGTGCCTAGAACATATGGATATAGAAAACACTTTGTACAATTTGTTCATGTGTTGTAAGGTGGGATTTGGCCCTTGATCCTGATCACTCTCTCTTTCAGAGATGTACTCTCCTCATTGACCCGGAGATGGAGAAGGTTGCCATGTCAACAGCTATCCGGGGACCCCAGGGCAAGAGGTGTGTTTATCTATACAGTATATCTATACTCAGGAATACTACACACAAGATCAGGTTGTCATTAAAATAAGATGTAAATGTCTTCCAGATATATATTGATCTACAGCTCATGTTTAATATCATGTTCATATCCTTATAGCAGTGGATTGTCTATTTACAGATTTTGAGGATTTTTTTCTTTAGATGCTTTTTTAATTTAGCATTTAGGAAGCTTTATTTTAGCTGATTAGAAGCATTGCTTATGTAGTTAGGGCAGAATTATTTTTATTTCTTGGTTTAAGGATCCGTCGACTCCAAATATTGAAAAAGCAGAATTGTTTTTTTTATGATAATCATTAGTTTTTTTCTCTTTTTGATTTGTTTAAGACATGATCAATTCAAGTTTCTTCCTCCAGACCATACTGTCTACTACCATATTTTCTTGTGTGTTGCATGCACGTTTTCAATGATCATGATGATTGCTGTCATTCTGTGCAGACTTAAGTTAAAGACATGTAATGTTTGGTAATATTTGTGCAGCAAATTTAGGAAGTTCATTCAGAAAAAACGGTAAGGTGTCCCACTGAATGTGTGTGAATCACTTGATACAAGAATGTCACATTGTTGTCACTCAGCAATAGCATGGATGAAATATAGATCAATAGGCCCCATTTCATAAAACGATCGTAGCTACGACTATCATACTTTAACATGGACTTAGGACAGTCGTAGTGCTATGATTGCCTTGTGAAACTGGGCCCTGCAAGTATGTTATTGGATGTCACAAATTTGTCACCCTCACATCACTCACAGTTGCATAGTTAATTAAAGGGCATGTGTCAGCAATATTTGTTTGTATTTGATAATTTCAAATAATCCATAAACATATTTTAATTTTCATTAGCAGATATAGCATGCATTGGGTCTGGTTTCTTCTTATTTACTCTTTCTCGGCCTGACAATGTATATTTTTACCCTTCTACCCAATGAAAACTAGATTTCAGAACCATTGAAAACAGTGTACTATTACTAGACAACAGTATTACTATTAGAAGTTAAGTCTGTCTGCCAGACCCTAGAGAATATATTAGAAAAGGATTCCAACTCAGGTCTAGAATGATTTGGAAAGTCTTGGACTACCTCACCTGACATTAAACATTGTTCTGGGCTCTATTTAGATTTTATTTTTTTAAGAGACATATTTTTAAATAAGATCGCTTTATTTCTTGGACTTCATGTCAGTCAATTGGAAGTAGTCTAGATTAGATTAGAATACACTAATTGTCCTTTTTTACAAGTAAACTAGTCTTCAAACATCCAACAGAATAATGATTATGTTTGCTGAAAACTACTCAAACATATTCCCTCTGGTTCAGTTTTATATAGGAACTTAATTTGTTTCCAACCCATCCAGCCCTTTCTAAATGGGGTGTTATCAGTCTTTTTTTATCAGAGACTTTAGTGCAGTGCTTATCTCATTAAAATCAGATGTCTCATTCTGATACCTCATTTGTGTAGATCTGAGGACACCCCCACAGTAGGTCATGGCAGGTGAACTTTCTGATAAGACAATCAGAGATGAAACGATAGAGGTATGATTTTAGATGATAAACAGAATCTTACCCTCGTGTCTCTTTTATGTTGAATATATCTGTTTAGAACTGTTCAGAAAGCCTTGAAGTTTAACTGTTATTGAGTGAGTGAGTGAGTTTGGTTTTACGCAGCTTTTAGCAATATTCCAGCAATATTACGGCGGGGGACACCAGAAATGGGCTTCACACATTGTACCCATGTCGGGAATCAAACTAGGCGTCTTCGGCGTGACGAGCAAACGCTTTAACCACTAGGCTACCCGACAGCCCCTTAACTGTTATTGACTTGTGTTGCTATATTTGATATATCACAAGACACCCAGGTGGGGTTCACTGTATGTCTTGCAACTGACTACCCCCTTGTTATTAAGCTGCATATATTGGTATCTCCTGTTGGAAATTGAGTATCAGGTATTTACAGTGAACCCTCATTACTCCGGACAGCACCCCTCCAAGTGAATTACCCAGATTAACATTTTTCAGATTAATAAATCAGTGAGTGGGAAGGGTTTTACGGCACTTTTAGCAAAATTCCAGCAATATCACGGCGGGGGACACCATGGGCTTCACACATTGCACCCATGTGGGGAATGGAACCCTGGCTTTGGGCAGGACAAGCGAACGCTTTAACCACTAAACTACCCCACTGCCCCTTTAAATCAGGGGTATGGAATACTATAATGAGGTATGCACAGATGTCCCCACCAAGATCATCTCAACTAACAGGGTACTGATTAACGAGGTTTGACTGTAGACAACCAGCTTCTAGGAGTAGGATGTACAGACTAATGTTGGCAGTATTGATTACACTGACATTTATTTTTGCGACGCTTCCAGGCTGGTAAACAGGTGAGGAATACTGATTTCTTTGTCTCCATCTCTTCTAGCTTCTGTCAGCATCCTGTAGCTTCAGACAGTCTGTGACTGCCATGTAGTAACCTTTCCAAGTTGCAAGAAAAATATCATTGTCACAATGCAAAGCCCGTTTCTGTGCCGTGTACTCAAACAATATTTTTTAGTCTTTCTTTGAATCACAAGATGGGTAGTGTTGTCTGACATAGGTAGAGTTCTTGTATTACTGTGTCAGACCCTATCAGCACACACAAGATTTTGGGGGTGGAGGATGGAGTTTCGATATATATGGATTTTATTAATTAATGACTGGTCCTTTTGAATGGACAGAAAATATAACTGATGATCAATGATGAAATATTTACTAATCATTAACCAAGATGACCGTGGCAACTGTGAAGTCTCATGAGAAGGAATTTGTGCTTGTCATGGTTTGTGTGCTAATAGGGTCATGTATGGTACTTGGAAACAGTCATGTTCCATAATATTAGAATCTTTGGTTAACAAAAAAAGACATTGGCTTGGCCTGCTGCATCTTGAGGATGGTAATGTGTTAACAGTTGTCTCCCTTGATCATGTCAACAGAAGGAAGGTGGGGAATTACCCACAAGGCCATACTAATTTGTTTCCTTGTTTAACGGATTGTCTCTTTGTTGACGAAGATCACTAAAGATCACTATGGTCGTAACTCCCATTCTTTAACATTGACTTACGATAGTAATAGTGCTTAGATGACTTTGTTGACGAAGATCACTAAGATCACTATGGTCGTAACTCCCATTCTTTAACACTGACTTACAACAGAAATAGTGCTTAGATGACTTTGATTACTATTTCCACAAAGTATCTTTGCGCTAAGAGGGCTGTAACTAAGAGGGCTGCATTCTTCAACATTGATTTGTGATAGTCATAGTGCTAAGATCACTTTGTGGAACAGGGCCCAGGGCCCTGTTCCTCAAAGCAATCTTAGCGCTAAGGTGATCGTAAGTCCCATACTTTAACATAGGCTTAAGATCATTGTAGCGCTGAGATCGCTTTGAGGAACGAGGCCCAGGGCACGAATTCGCAAAGTGTTAGTACTGCTATGACTGGCTTAGATGATGTTAAGGTATGTGAGTATCAGCTGCCATCGAGCTGTGAACACTGGGTGAAACAGGGATTATCTCACCTTACATTAAAATACTAGCTTCTGATTGGGAAAGGAGGCTACAATTATTTTCCATGTAGCCCGCTCACGTAACCCACTGAGAAATCAATCAGAACACACAGCAGGTAAATTGCTTATCTCTCATGAGTATCATTGAGCTCATATCAACCGAAGTAACTTGGCTCGTTTGTGTTGTCTGCTGGATATAAAAATATCTGAATCAAAGCGTTTTACTCGCTAAACTTTAGACATATATTCCGGGTCGGTATCAATGAATTTTGGTGAGATAAATTTGTTGTTAACCGATCCCTCAGGGCACATGGTGTGATGTACCCTGTGTGATGTACCCTGTGTGATGTACCCTGTGTGATGTACCCTGTGTGTGTACCCTGTGTGTGTACCCTGACGGCTCTGGAGTGAGTGAGTATGGTTTTACGCCACTTTTAGCAATATTCCAGCAATATTACGGCGGGGGACACCGGAAATGGGCTTCACATCTTGTACCCATGTCGGGAATCGAACCCGGGTCTTCGGCGTGATGAGCGAATGCTTTAACCATGTTAACCACTAGGCTACCCGACCGCCCCTGACGGCTCTGGATAGGTTTAGGTTGCGTGGGAAAGGTTGCAGTAGATTGTCTGCATGGATGATGGCAAGGCTCATTTACCTTTTGCGTTATCATTTATTTAGATTTTGAAAAGGTGAACTCATCATCTGAAACTGAGAGCAACATCAAATGTGTGGCAGATACATTACTGGTGTATATTTGATGAGTAGATTTTTGAACAGACAATCTATATTTGATGAATAGTCAGACAGTGTATGTTTGATAAATGTATAGTATATGTTTGAATAGACAGGGTATGTTTGAGTAGACAGTGTTCATGTGATGAACAGTCAGACCGTATATTTGAGTAATAGACAGTGTATGTTTGATTTGAAACGTTTTATATTTGATGAACATGACGAATAGTCAGACACAGTATATTTGATGAGTACACAGTGGTGAAAAAGGAGAAAATATTCAGTAAGGGGCATTTCTTGTAGTCGGCTAACTATAAAAGGGACACAGGTGGTCCAGTTGTTGTGTCTCTAATCTATGCCACGATCCATTGGTCATGTGTTTGAATCCCAGATTTAGCCTGATAATGGTGCTTGGTTTGTCAGAACCATACTCTGCTGATGGATTTCACTGAGGCCTATAAACTGATAAACTCTATGAATTATGGTCCACCAACATTAAGCTGATGTGACTGAAACGCTGTTTAAGGCAGGGTATGTCATTGAACATATTTATTACAAAATACCATCCATGGGTATCAGGGATGTCACGATAAATCGAAATAATGATATATTGCTATTGGTAAGCACTTAAAGTCAATAAATCGATTGTTAAATCAGTTTCCGATCAGTAGTATCGATTTCAGTTAGGAATATCGATAGTTTCGATTGTATTTACCATATCAATAAAATACAATTCAAATTTGTTTTTCTTTTGATCATGAGTGGTAGTAATTTATACATGGTGATGTGGAAGTTTCTCTTTCTTAAATTATTAAGAAAAAACAAATCAGTCATATCTCAAACTTTACTTTTTATTTGTTGTTATTGTTATCACATTCAAAGGAAGCTTCAGTTCTAAGGTTTAATTCAGCTCTAAAATCCATCTATAATGATACACTGAAAACTATCGATATTTATCGCAACAGTTGCTTGCAATACCAATAGTTATCGCAATAGTTTCTTTCAATATCAATAGTTATTGCAATAGTGATTTCCAGACCAATAGTCACCCCTAATGGGTAGTGAGGTCTTTCTGTACTGGCACTTCTTGTGCTGGGAGTCTTTGACACTGTTGGTATAGGCCATATTGTAAGTTGTAGCAGTATTACCAGGGGTACATGTGGTTTTATGTGTCCCTTATTAGGTTTAGAGGCGGTATAAAACCTAACATGGGATGCATATTACCATATGTACCCCACGTGACTGCTACAACAAATTATTCTTACTGACATGTTTTAATCTGCCATTGTAAAATAAGTTAAACAGATTCAAAATAAAGAGAAAACAGCTGTTTGATTGAGCTGAGGTTAACTTGTGCTATTACACGTGACGTTCATTCACTCTGAAAAAGTGTGCAACTTTTTGTTTTGAAGACGGGTATAAGGGATGAATTCTCCCGCTCAGAAATCTATGCACAGCCTGTCTTCTTCATGGCGGGGTATAAGAGATTTATATTCTCCCACTCAGAAATATATTTCCCTCCCAGACTATACATAGTATATTATCAAGATCTCATCATTCTTTCATGGAGGTGTAAGTGTAACCAGGTTAAAGTTGCATGCTCTAATCCCTATAGATAGTCCTCTCATTCATCAGGTAACCATGGTAACAGGCATGTCATAACAATAACAATTATAACAAAACAGGCATGAATCCTCTTGAGAGAGGTTCTCACTCTGGGCCATCAACAGTGATTTCTCTAAATTCTTCAAGCATTTCATTCTGAAAGAAATGTCTGCAGCTAGCATGAACTGATTGTCGGGTAATGTATGTCTATGTTTAGGTATTGGAGGAAAAACAGCATCAAGGCACCTGGAATTCGTGATGTTCTGTTTGTAGCATTCAGTATTTCTAAGATTAAATTCCAGCGGTGTCAGGTGGTGTTAGTCCTGTGGGTACTGTGTTTGCTTGCAGGACACAAGGCTTTGTTTTTTATACCCCGCCACAAAGTGGAAGGGGGATTTAGGAATATGTGCTGTCTGTACATCCTTCTGTCTGTCCCCCTGCAGAACTCACATCCTTCTGTCCGTCCCCCTGCAGAACTAAAAAACATGACAAAGATATCTTAACCAAACTTGGCACATAGATAGGTCTAAAAAGTGGTTAACTGGTGCCTTTTGATAGTTTGGAATTTAAAAAAAAAGATTTTTTCAAGTTTCCATGGCAACTACTTTGACTCACACTGAAAATGGCGATAGTGCTTGTTAAGGAACAGATCTTGAAAACTGTACAATATTTCTTCACCAAACTTGGCACATAAATAGGTCTAGAAGTAAACTGGTGCCTTTTGATAGGTTGGGATCTTCAAAACCCTAAATATTTTTCGTCTTGGACACAACCGGACATGTCGCATTCGGATGGGTGGTATGAGTATTTCATGCTTGTTATTTATGCACTTGTATTGTATTACATGAACTCTTTGTGCCTGCCTGCCTCCCACTACCCCCCGCTGCTATATGACTGCAGTACAGAGACATTAACACTGATGTATCTGGCGTATTGCACGTGCTACCAAGCAAGGAGAGAGTTGTCAGAGTTGTCCCCCTTAATGAAATGTCACACGATATAGAACAGAAACTGCACATCACTTTAGCCATGCACCGCCTGCTTGTCAGTACTGCACCGCAGTTTGCCATTTTCAATGTGTTAGCTTCACATACAGGTCTATTATGCACTTTTAATTGGATATGTAAGTTTTTCCATTTCAGTGTTATCAATAAGTTGTTATAAATGCTGATATGTACTGATCGCATGACATATTGTCGGTTGTCTGATTGGCTGACGTTTATCTGGCCAAACATATCTAAAAATTGTGAAAATTACTTTCAATAATTATTTTTAACAAGTTTTTAAAACTCAAGAATGATAATGACAAGAACCATAAGTTGGACTTCAGTACATCATGTACACTAGATAAACAGGATAAAAATGCAAAGGTACTTTTTTATCCTTTTTCTTAGAATGTGCTGAATATACTTTCACCAAATGTCCTAAAGTGATGTTCATTTTTATTAGTCAGCATAAATGTGAAGCACAATAAATCATACAATCATACTTTTCAAATTATGAAGGAAAATATTAAAATTTAATTTTAAGACAGCATATAGCCAATATAAGGACAATACATTATGTTAAAGGTCAAGGTCACTTGATAAACATGACAAAAGCTGCTCGTGAAAATGGTTTCAAATTGCCTTAAACATTTTAAAGCAGTAAATTTGGATGCAGACTAATGTCAAGAACAGGATACCTCCAGAAAATGATTGATATTTCATTGTGAAACTTTCATGAATTATTTTTATGAAGTGATGTTTCTTTTGCAGTTAAGTATAGATGCAAGGTCACCTGACATGGATTACGTCATAGATCTTTGCGACAGTAATTAATCAGTGACATAGGTGCACAGCTCGTTGAGGATGGCAGACAGTCAATGTACAATACAGTGGGGATTAGCATCTTATAAGTAATGGTAATTAAGACTCTAGACATCTACATCTACAGGGTAACTAGCCTCTGTTCATTCAGACAAAGGTTGTCCAAAATTTGTAACTATTTGAGTATTTGTCACTATTACAATTACAACTTACAAAACAAACCATGAGTTATATTTCTGTATCTTACGCATTTGTGCTTCCGCGATGGTGTGACCTACAAGTTTGTTTTTTATTCATTAGTACTTATATGGACATTAAATTAAAAAATATAAATGTTTCACCACCTACATTCAATTTATGACAGATGTGTTTTTAAAATAGATGACTTAGATAATTAACATTGAGAGGGTTTTGTGAATACAATTTAATTAAGAATTCTGCAGAATGTACAGAAATTTGACCTTGGGGGCTTATTATTTATAATCTGGAAGAAGGAATGGGAAGGAAGATCAATATAGTCCCAATGTTTTGGAGGGTTTAATTGCTACATTTGGCATTTGCTTTTGAATGCAATACTGTTGAATACTTGATGTTGTTTTGGATGATAGGTTTACAGTAGACTTCAAGGAACAATGGAAATAAGGAAAAATTAATTTGGTTAAAAGATTTGAAATTGGCTGGAGATTGAGAATAGTAATCATAGATTAGCTGTCAGTAGAGCGGCAATATTGGTGAGTGAGGCATCTAACAACAGACAAACAAACACAGATTTGCAACACTATTTTTGTTTTATTTTCAGTATGAAATTACACGGAGTACCGTATTCGACGTAATAAGCGCCCTGCTCTAATAAGCGCCCACGGCAATATTTGCTAATATTTTGGCTAGTGAACAATACCAATTAGCACCCCTTCCGATTGATCAATGTACACAACACTTATTTTTTCGCGTATAATACGTACTTGTTTGTTACATGCACCCTTAATTATGGGCAATTAAATTCTGGAAAGATGTATCTCTGGTATATAAACATTTCAGGCTGTCAGCATAAACCACGAAATTTATCTTTCAACTCTGTCTTTTTCACCAAAATGATATTCTAATAAGAGCCCCCTATTTCTAATTTTGAGAGCGCCCTGAGCGCTTATTACGTTGAATACGGTATATGGGGTTTCAAGGGTTTACATGATGCAGAAATGTCCATCCAGTACACACAATTGTATAGAATGGACACAGAAAAAAGTGTATTTCATCCCGAGGGACACACAATAATATTCAGTGTACCCAATTCTTTAAACTGATTGGGTGGTCAGACTTGCTGACTTGGTTGATGCATGTCATCGATCCAAATTGCGTGGATCGATGCTTATGTTGTCAATCACTGGATTGTCTGGTCCAGACTCGATTATTTACAGACTGCCATCATATAGCTGGAATATTGCTGAGTGCGGCGTTAAACAACAAACCAACCCAAAATCGTCTTCCTATCAAGTTAACCATAGTTTGAGACAAGCAGACAGTAAAATGTTAAACCACAGTGCAATTCACATTTCTTCAAGTAATATATTGAACTAGGTGCACAATGCACTACATCCATTTTTTTGCACCAGCTGAGTCTGGTTGCATGCAACCCTTTGATTACTTCTTTCGTCAGAATTATCAGGACGATGTAATCGTTGTTTTCAGACTGAATTATTAATCTCTATTTTTTCCTTCTTTTCCCTCAGGAAAGTAGTTAAGGCTGTAAGAGTGTTTTGCATGTAACGTTACTTTGGACAGAATTGGTGAATTAATTATTGTTCAGCTTAAACCTGTGGTTGATGTTGTCGGTGTTGAGATAGCTATGTTAGTCTTCACTGTGAAAAGGGATAACTTGGTTGTTTAAGGAAGATGGTATTTAACACTGATGTAGGTTGTTGTCTGTTTATTTTCCAGCAATATTATGGATTGGAATTTTCAGATTTTATGTAAAACATTTCGCCACAATCCCTTTCACTTGAACAGGTTTCCTGAAGTCACATGATGTATTAGAAAGATTTTACAAGTTTATTATACAAAGATTTGCTCATGGAATTATGGGGCTGAGTTGATACATATTATCAGGGTCAACTCACACCATGGAGATATGGATTGTGGGACCCAAGAGGCTGTTTCGTTTGTCGCACTCAGCAATTTTCCAGGTATATGACAGCGGTCTGTAAATAATTGAGTCCGGACCAGTGATTGACGTCATGGGCATCGATCTACGCAATTGAGATACGAGGATATGCATCAACTAAGTCAGCGAGTCTGACCACCCATTCCCGTTAGTCGCCTCTTACGACAAGCACAGTTGCATCTTTCGGCAAGCATGGGTTGCTGAAGACTTATTCAAACCCGGATCTCCAAGAGGCTGTTAATTATCTATATATTTCAGGATAATGCCAAGGAAACTGTGGGGACTGGGTTAGTAAAAGGTCTCCAGCAGCATATTCTTGTCATAGGAGACGACAATGGATCAGGTGGTCAGGCTTCATGTCATTGTGTGTCCTTGTGACCTGCCAATGTGGGACATTGCTCATACTATCAGTCATTGGTTTGTCAGGTCCAGACGTGATTATTTACATGCTGCCATCATATAGCTGGAACATTATCAAGTGCAATGTTGAACAACAAACAGACAAATATATCGGGGAGTTGTTTAGAGTTGATAATTTTGACTACTGATTTATCAGTTCCAGTTATCATGACTTGTAGACTGACATGATATGGTTGTAATGTTTGGGGGTAAACTCCATTCATTTACTCACTCACTCACTCACTCACTCACTCACTCACTCCAGAGAGAAGACGGAGCTTCTGTTTAACCAGCTGAAGAGGGAGCTGTTCAATGCGGCTAACACAATGGAGGAGCTGTACAGCCTCCTCATTGAACTCAAGGCAGCCACAGAGAAGAACTTTTCTCTCAAGAAACTCTTCTGGAGGGTGAGTTTGAGGGTAGTCAGGGTTTTGCTGCACATAAAATATTGAGTCCTATGCACATACACATTTAGAATGGGTGCCAGTAATTAACATTCAAGTCCTGGGGGATACAAAGAAGTATGGCTGTTTTTTTTTCATTAAAACGAATCAAAATTGTAGATTGCATGCCACATGTAGCTGACATTCTATTCTGGTAGGAAATACAAAGTGTTTACTAAGAGCAGCGTTCCAGTTTACTGGTAATTACCAGTTTTTTACTGATAAAATTAGGCTTGGACCTGTAATTCATGTGACTGCCAGTCCTCGTGGACCGGCAAAAAAAGTACCTCATAAATCTTTGTTGTTGAACAAAATACATAGTCAGCTTGTCTGTTACCACCATTTGTAGTGACTTCATCTCAAAATTTAAAAAAAAAAGAGAAAAAATTGTGACTGAAGTTTGTGTGAATGACATATAGATCTACCGGTAACTAAGTTACTTCAGAGATGACATCTTTGCACTGAACATGAGGTTGAAAGAAATAAAACTAAATAATTTGCATACGTTTTTTTGTTGTTTTTTTTAAAGTTGGGACTGGCAAAAATTAGGGGGGACTGGTAATTTTTAGCATTGTTTAGAGTTGCGAGTCCATAAGGACTGGCAGTTTCAAAAGCCATCGGGAACACTGCTAAATGATCCGTGGACTTTGAAAAAGATAGATCCCTGGTAGTTGTGCTGGGTTAGGCAAGACATCCAGATGTGTTCATAAGGCCTGTAACATATTTTATTCAAAAGTCTGGATAGGACAAAGTATAAAATATTGGTCGTTTTGTGTCTCCAAATTTGTCAAATACAGTGAAATCTTGTCAAATGTAAGCTCTTGTGGTCTTCATGTCATAGTTCAAGATAAGTGGAGTGCCAGTATTTGACCATAGCGGTAGTGACGATGACATGTTCTTATGTACAAATATATTGAGTTTGTCATGTTTATTTCCAAATATATGGGGTTTTGCAGGACAGAGATCACATAGTAACAATGATGAGATTGATTGTTAGTCCTCATGTTTTTTTCTGATCTCTGGCTTCGTGCTTGACATGCTTGAAGACCACTTTGTTTTTTCAACTCTTAGAGGACTGCCTGATCTGGATTCATTATGGGTGTTTTCCTGATGTCATGGACACTCAGCTTGATAACATTGATTATGATGATTATGATGAACACACAATGCCATTTACCAATCATTAGCATACAATTCAGCAATCTAACTCACTCAGCCACCGATGCTTCCATGATTATGATGTTAATATTATTGTTGACTCTATTGCTGCTGCTGCTGCTGATGATGATGATGATGTTGCTGATGTTGATCCTGGCATGTGAATGCTTGCTTGCTTGTCCAGAACTCGGACCTCTTCCTGTTCATGGTGCGCCACCTCCAGAAATATCTACCCAAGTCTCCTAGCAACCTGTCCACTGACGAGGGGCGGTCGGCTCGAGCTGATGAGTTTGAGTGAGTAGTGATTAAGAAAATAGTACCAGTCGAAGTGTTTTTTCTTTGAAAACGTCATCGTGTAATCTTTTTAGTAGCTGGAGCATACAGACATGTAAAGAGTACATGGATCATATTTTTTTGTGAGACTTTCTGATTTATTATTCCCTGTGATGGAATAAAATGACTTTTTTGGAAGATATTCATTCTAATATAGCTCAAAGATTATGTCATGGAGAACTCATGAGAATTTGTTGATTCCTCTTCCAGTATATAAATTTGAGTGATTTCTCCGACTTATTATGGTTGATATATAATTTTGCATTATGACCTGCAGATCCGTCACTTTTGCTTGTATGAAATGCGTTTTCTGAATGACCAGTGAATTCCTGGCTCAGAATCAACTGCTACAACAATAGCATGACATCGCCATAATGGTTAAACTGGTTTTTATCTATATGGGCCTGATTAATAATTTTGTATGGGTCAGCTTTCTAACTTCCAATATTAAGTCACGTCTTGAGTTGTTGGTTGAAGTGCTCATAAAATGTCTGGTGCAGGTTTGTGATTCTGCTGGTGGAGATCCTCAGCCTCATGTTCCGGGAGACCGAGATTATACAGGGAAGGATACAGACACTCAAGGCTGAGAGGTAACCAAAACACCTGGTACAGATATTGGAAACTTGTTGTTTAGGATAGATCTGGAGTTATATCCAATGGCAAGGAAAGAACACGCCTCAGTTTACTTTCACAAAATGTCAAATGTCAAACATGTGAGTTACAATTTAATGTCGCATCGGCATTATTTCAGATATAGGGAACATGCATGTCGCTGTATATGTGCAATAATCTTGTATTCCTGGACAGAATAGATCCCCAGTACTCCATGTTTCTCACACTGTGGAGATTCCTGGACAGAATAGATCCCCAGTACCCCATGTTTCTCATACTATGGAGATTCCTGGACAGAATAGATCCCCGGTACCCCATGTTTCTCATACTGTGGAGATTCCTGGACAGAATAGATCCCCGGTACCCCATGTTTCTCATGCTATGGAGATTCCTGGACAGAATAGATCCCCAGTACCCCATGTTGCTCATACTGTGGAGATTCCTGGACAGAATAGATCCCCAGTACCCCATGTTTCTCATACTGTGAAGATTCCTGGACAGAATAGATCCCAAGTACCCCATGTTTCTCATACTGTGGAGATTCCTGGACAGAATAGATCCCCAGTACCCCATGTTTCTCATACTGTGGAGATTCCTGGACAGAATAGATCCCCGGTACCCCATGTTTCTCATACTGTGGAGATTCCTGGACAGAATAGATCCCCAGTATCCCATGTTTCTCACACTGTGGAGATTCCTGGACAGAATAGATCCCCAGTACCCCATGTTTCTCATACTATGGAGATTCCTGGACAGAATAGATCCCCAGTACCCCATGTTTCTCATACTGTGGAGATTCCTGGACAGAATAGATCCCTAATACCCCATGTTTCTCATACTGTGGAGATTCCTAGACAGAATAGATCCCCAGTACCCCATGTTGCTCATACTGTGGAGATTCCTGGACAGAATAGATCCCCGGTACCCCATGTTTCTCATACTATGTAGATTCCTGGACAGAATAGATCCCCAGTACCCCATGTTGCTCATACTGTGGAGATTCCTGGACAGAATAGATCCCCAGTACCCCATGTTTCTCATACTATGGAGATTCCTGGACAGAATAGATCCCCGGTACCCCATGTTTCTCATACTGTGGAGATTCCTGGACAGAATAGATCCCCAGTACCCAATGTTTCTCATACTGTGGAGATTCCTGGACAGAATAGATCCCCAGTACCCCATGTTGCTCATACTGTGGAGATTCCTGGACAGAATAGATCCCCAGTACCCCATGTTTCTCACACTGTGGAGATTCCTGGACAGAATAGATCCCCAGTACCCCATGTTTCTCATACTATGGAGATTCCTGGACAGAATAGATCCCCGGTACCCCATGTTTCTCATACTGTGGAGATTTCTGGACAGAATAGATCCCAAGTAGCCCATGTTTCTCATACAATGGAGATTCCTGGACAGAATAGATCCCCAGTACCCCATGTTGCTCATACTGTGGAGATTCCTGGACAGAATAGATCCCCAGTACCCCATGTTTCTCATACTGTGAAGATTCCTGGACAGAATAGATCCCAAGTACCCCATGTTTCTCATACTGTGGAGATTCCTGGACAGAATAGATCCCCAGTACCCCATGTTTCTCATACTGTGGAGATTCCTGGACAGAATAGATCCCCGGTACCCCATGTTTCTCATACTGTGGAGATTCCTGGACAGAATAGATCCCCAGTATCCCATGTTTCTCACACTGTGGAGATTCCTGGACAGAATAGATCCCCAGTACCCCATGTTGCTCATACTGTGGGGATTCCTTGTCTTGTCTCGCTATGGTATCCCAAGACTAGATATGTCCTGTGTGGTCAATGCTTGTCATTCCTTGTGTTCATGGTATTGTTGTGCGTGCTATCCACCTCTGGTGTGCCTACTCCAGACTATTATCTTGTACATGACGTAAAACCCAGTTTCACCTCATCTCACCCGTACCAACTTAATCACAATTATAAGCATGGAATCCAGTGTCTTGGATTAATGAAAGGGGGGGGGGGTATTCATCTGAGAGATGTTTATCAATTACATGTCTGACCATTGTCCACAGAGGTAAGGCTGTCCTTGACCTCCTGATGGCCTTGACCTGTGTTCCTGACCTGCCAGACAAGCCATTGTCTCCAAAGAAGACCATGAAGTCGGGTATTGGTGACCAGCTGATGGAGCGAGTTTCGGATGAAGATGTGAGTAGAGATCACCATGGTTATGTTCAAACATCCACTTGACAAACAGGAATTTACCTAGGCGAGCCCAGAGACCAGTACTTTGCCACAAATCTGCAGCAAATGTCAGTAAAAATTTCCAAATTGGAATTATAAACTTTCACACTTCATGTTAGTATAAAGTAATGGCTTTGTGGAGGCTTGTTGTAATTATACATTTTCCAATTTGGTCGTCAGTCTCACAGTCACTAAACCATATATTCCCTTCTACACATCCGTTACTGTAATGCTATGTCCTAAATGAAGCAAGTCTAGACTTTCCTTCAGGCTCAGTCTACCTATAGTTTGGAATCCTAGATAAATCTCTGATAAAACAAGACCCTGCAATATGCTGCATATTTGTTTAACCACCTTGTACTTCATGCAAAACTAACATAAGGAACAAAATTGAGTGGCCGCCTTTTTTGAACCAGTACTAGACTATTTATGGGGACATGAGAGGCCCAGTCGTCTAAGGCGCCACGATTCGCTGTGCAGAGTTGTGTCCCTTGGGTATGCCAGAAACCTATGATTGTGGGTTTGAATCCCGGTTCGCCCCGATTATGTTTCTAGGTTTGTCAGCACCATACCTGTGCTCATGGGTTTCACTGAAGTGGTAAAACTTCAGGCTTTCCTCCCACATTAAGATGATATGCTGTGATATAACTGGAATACTGCTAAAAGCGACGTTAAACCCTCACTCACTCACTAGGCTATTTATTATTAGTTTGTAAGACATAACAACCATCTAGGTATTCTTGTGACCAAGCAAGGAGGCGCAGTGGTTAAAGCATGTGTGGCGGCCATTCTTGGTGTTTACCATGATATAACTGGAATATTTCTGAAAGCAGACGGGACGTTGGGGTAGCCTCGTGGTTAAAGCATTGGCTCGTAACGCTCAAGACCCTGGTTCGATTCCCCACATGAGGACAAAGTCCGTTTATGGTGTCTCCCGTCGTGATATTGCTCCATACTCGCTCACTCTGAAGGTGGAATGACTCCATACTAACCCATTGATGTGATCTGTCAGGGGCGTGGGTGGCTGAGTGGTCTGTGGTGCTGGAACTTATGCAGGGTTGCATCCCTTTTCTGTGCCAGGATCCCTGGAGTGTAGGGCTGAGACGACTCTGAATTTACTTCCCGGGTACCCACCCCACTATTTCCCGACCCTATCCGGGTACCCACCGTAGGTCTCAAGACATAGGTACAAAATGTTCGATTGAGCATTTTTTTACCATAGCACTGGCAAAATGTATTTAGATACATGTATTAAACAGTCTGGTCATGCACTAACTGACGTTGACTCATGTCATATCTTTATTCATAGATATGAAAAGTCAGAAGGAATGAGTGCATAGTCAGAAAGAAATGCGAACATTTGTGACTTGTAGTGTAACTATAGAGTTCTAGATATTTTTTGTCATTAAACAATATATCACATGACTAACCACGGGTCCGGGTACTCCTGAGGGTACCCGGGTCCTACTCAGTACCCACCCGACTCGGGTACCCGAGTTACCCGTCCCAGCCTACTGGAGAGTATGTTTCTATTTGCTGAATATTTTCCCCAAATATTCATTAACCATGAGCTAAATATTGAAAATCATGCCAGTATATATGACATACTTGGGTTGGGATCCAAACCTGCCATTATAGATGGGGTTGCTGGGATGAGGGCTGTGATGAGCATCACCTTGTGTTTCAGCTGGCCAGGCTGGTGGATGACCTCACCAAGATGGCCATTAAAGCAGTCTTTGAGTTGTTCCTCATGGCAAGACAAGTAAGTGAAGTTTATCTGTCAGAACTGTAATCAGTCAATCAATTACTTCACATTACCAAATGAGTTAGAAAGAAATTAAAGATGGAAAAATGTATTTAATTTTTTTGCATAATGTTCATTCTATCTTCTGAAGAGCTCAGATGTTGAATTATATTATGAACTTATATCACTAGAATCGCATATAGAATATAACCCACACTGGTATGATGCGGAACTGTTACCAATGTTCACTGGTGTCATCAAATCCAAAGGTGTCGGATGTTGCTTGGATATTAATCACGGGTTTGTCTGGACCATATTCTAGTTTGGTGTGGCACAAGACAACACCTAAACAAACTCCCACCCTTCTGATTTTGTTGTGTGTCATGTCCCAAAGAGGTGTTGAAACCCCTATAACACTGAGTGTCTCCATCAGGCCAACTGGAACCACAGCGAGGGCAACTTCTTCAACATCAGTTGGATGGTGCGAGTCCTGGAGGAGATTCGCACAACAGTGAGTACACAAGAGTCAGATACTTGTATGCATTGTTTTGAAGTGAACAAGGACTTATATACTTCCAGAATGTACCTCGCGATTCATAGGCAGAACAGTACCCCAGTACCCTATGCTTGTCTCCTTGTGGGGATTCCTAGAATAGACCCCAGTACCCTATGCTTGTCTCCTTGTGGAGATTCCAGGACAGAATAGACCCCAGTACCCAATGTTTCTCCTCCTGTGGAGATTCCTGGATGTAAGACCGCCCCTGTGGTCTAGTGGTAGAGCGGAAGGTCCGGAGTTTGATCCCCGGCCGTGTTATACCAAAAGACGTTACAAGATGGAACTTGTTGTTACCCTGTCTGGCGCTCGACATAAAGGGGCTAAAACAAGGACTGGTCGGCTCGGAGTCAGTATACTGTGTCTGAGTGGGGTATTCATGTTAAACTGCGGCATGGTATCTCAGTGAACTAGCACCATAAATCGGCATCAGTCCGGACTAGTACAAGCAGCCACACACACACGAACATGCACGTCGCTATATAAGTACAATAATCTTGGACGCAACGTTAAACCCAATTTCACCTCACCTCACCTCCTGGACAGAATAAACCCCAGTACCCCATGTTTCTCACACTGTGGAGATTCCTGGACAGAATAGATCCCCAGTACCCCATGTTTCTCACACTGTGGAGATTCCTGGACAGAATAGATCCCCAGTACCCCATGTTTCTCACACTGTGGAGATTCCTGGACAGAATAGATCCCCAGTACCCCATGTTTCTCACACTGTGGAGATTCCTGGACAGAATAGATCCCCAGTACCCCATGTTTCTCACACTGTGGAGATTCCTGGACAGAATAGATCCCCAGTACCCCATGTTTCTCACACTGTGGAGATTCCTGGACAGAATAGATCCTAAGTACCCCATGTTTCTCACACTGTGGAGATTCTTGGACAGAATAGATACCCAGTACCCCATGTTTCTCCTACTGTGGGGATTTCTTGTCTCGTCTCACTATGGTATCCCGAGACTAGGTATGTCCTGTGTGGTCAATGCTTATCATTCCTTGCGTTCATGGTATCGTTGTGCGTGCTATCCGCCACTGGTGTGCCTACTCCAGACTATTATTTACAGGGTGTGATAACTGAAATATTGCAAAACTGCTAGCTCCCATCGTTATGAAAGATGACCATGTTAGACTGTGACATAATATTTCTGTACCAATAGTAGACATGGTAGATGTTAAAGTTGCATTTATTATCATGATAATGAGGATAAGCTAGATCTGCAGAAATTGCTGTCAGGTTTTTGAAACAATGTGTCATGTGTCTGCTTACCAAGGGAAATCTGGGGCAGCCAGGTAGCCTAGTGGTTAAAGTGTACGCTTGTCATGCGGAAGACCAGGGTTCGAATCCCGACATGGGTACAATGTGTGAAGCCCATTTCTGGTGTCCCCCGCTGTGATATTGCTGGCATATTGCTAAAAGTGGCGTAAAAGCCATATTCACTCACCAAGGTAAATCTAGCAGTAACAGGCTTTCACTTGGCACTGATAATAGTGTCTAGACCAAGATTTGTGATTGTTCCAACTCGAGGGTCCATCTTTGTTGCTCACTGACTACAACAGTTTAGATATCAGTTTGAAAGTTTTTGCTTGATAGTTGTCATGTATAGAAAAGTAATGAAACATGAAACAAATCATGCAAGTATGCAGCAGCATATTTTGTATGTATGCATTTGAAAATGAAGAGAATAGTTTCATATAAGTTTGTAAATCTTTTCAGGAAAAGTTTGTGGAACGAGTGATTGCCCAGATGATGGAATTAATTTCACCAGCCAAATTTGACACGTTGGCTCCAGAGGAAGGTGTCGCCCTCTACCAGCAGTTTTCGTTACTACTGACGTTCCTGGAGTACAGTCCACGCATCACCAAGTTTATCAAGCAGCAGTACCATGAGGAATTCAAGTAGGTCGCGAGGGCGGTCGGGTAGCCTAGTGGTTAAAGCGTTCGCTCGTCACGCCGAAGACCCGGGTTCGATTCCAGACATGGGTACAATGTGTGAAGCCCATTTCTGGTGTCCCCCGCCTTGATATTGCTGGAATATTGCTAAAAGCGGCGTAAAACCATACTCACTCACTCACTCAAGTAGGTCGCACAGAAAATAGGACCCCAGCCAAATTTAGCTTATGTCACAGGGGATTTTGGGTTAGAATAGGACCTCAGCAAAATATGCTTGTGTCACAGGGGATTCCAGGTTAGAAAAGGACCCCAGGAAAATATGCTTGTGTCATTGAGGATTCTTGGTTAGAATAGGACTCCAGCAATCTATTCTTCTCTTTATGGATCAAATTGTCAGGCTTGGTGACTTGGTGGATTGTGTGTCATTGTCATTGGTGCTAGATGTTGCTCATAGAATCAATGACTGGTTTGACCTAATATTTACAGGCCGCTATATCTGAAATATTGTTGAGTGTGGCATTAAATAACAAACACCAATATACTATATTTGCATATATATGAATGCTACATATTCAATGCATATTCATTACCTCAGTGTTTCTTCCTGGCATATTTTTCTGAGTGCATGATCCGACTGACTAATAAACGGCAGCGGGGTCGCCTAGTAGTTGAATCATTTCCTATCGTGTGGAACCCATTCTTTTTGTCACCCTGGTCATGATATTTGTGGAAGATTGCATAAAACAATACTCCCTCACTCACTCAGAAGTAAGAACATTTTTTTGTGTTCAGATATTTCATCCAAGTGCCGAAAGTTGCGAGGAAGCTTCCCCCTCAGTACCCAGTGTCCAGCTCTACCAGGAACATCATGGACCAGGTCATAGCCAAGGTGCTCAGTCACAGCCGGTCCTCATCACGCTCACCCAGGTAACAAGACTCACCCATCTCACACTGAACTCCTAGCTCACCAAGGTAACAAGACTCACCCATCTCACACTGAACTGCTAGCTCACCCAGGTAACACTAATGAACTCCTAGCTCACCCAGGTAACAACACTCACCCATCTCACACTGAACTGCTAGCTCACCCAGGTAACACTAATGAACTCCTAGCTCACCCAGGTAACAAGACTCACCCATCTCACACTGAACTGCTAGCTCAATCAGGTAACACTAATGAACTCCTAGCTCACCCAGGTAACAAGACTCACCCATCTCACACTGAACTCCTAGCTCACCCAGGTAACAAGACTCACCCATCTCACACTGAACTCCTAGCTCACCCAGGTAACACTAATGAACTCCTAGCTCACCCAGGTAACAACACTCACCCATCTCACACTGAACTCCTAGCTCACCAATGTAACAAGACTCACCCATCTCACACTGAACTCCTAGCTCACCCAGGTAACACTAATGAACTCCTAGCTCACCCAGGTAACAACACTCACCCATCTCACACTGAACTCCTAGCTCACCAATGTAACAAGACTCACCCATCTCACACTGAACTCCTAGCTCACCCAGGTAACACTAATGAACTCCTAGCTCACCCAGGTAACAACACTCACTCATCTCACACTGAACTCATAGCTCACCAATGTAACAAGACTCACCCATCTCACACTGAACTCCTAGCTCACCCAGGTAACAAGACTCACCCATCTCACACAGAACTCCTAGCTCACCCAGGTAACAAGACTCACCCATCTCACACTGAACTCCTAGCTCACCCAGGTAACAACCATTATCATAGCTGCATTTCAGAATGAGATCTGGTTTTGTTTAGTGATCTTGATAAAATACTATCTATCCTGCCTGTGAGGGAAATAAATTTGGTTTAATTCATTCACAATGGCAGATTATAACATGTCAGGTAAGATATATTTGTAGTAGCAGTATCACGAGGGGTACATGTGGCCATATGCATCTCTCGTTAGGTTGTATACCACTCGGCTCCAGCTCGTGGCATAATGCAGAACACAGGACGCATAATCCCACATGTACCCCTCATGATACTGCCACAACTATTATTGTAGGCCCCTCACATTGAACGTATAATTCCGATCTGATCTTACTCTATAGCTTTCATGCTTTCATGTTTTTTGTAGCACGAGTGAGTGAGTGAGTTGGGTTTAACACCGCTTTTAACAGTATTCCAGTTATATCACGGCATGTTAGCTTAATGTGGGAGGAAAGCCCAAAGTGATGCAGGTCTCAGACGTTTACCACTTCGGTGAAACCCACGAGCATGGGTATGGTGCTGACAAACCAAGAAACATAATTGGGGCGAACCGGGATTCGAACCCACAATCATAGGTTTCTGGTGTGCCCGAGGGACGCAACTCTGCACAGCGAATCGCGGCGTGTAGCACGATGAGCATGCACTAAAGGGTAGATATGGTGCTGTAGAAATGTCCCTTGTTAATCTTCTTAATGTCTAGCCATCTAAGAATTCTGTCCATGTTGTCTGCGCAGTGTTCATCCTCTCGTGTCTTCTTCTTTCAGGTAGTCCCTGTGTCTGCAACATCTCCATGACAACTCCGGCAGACATCTGTGGCCAATTGTTGACCATCCAGTTCCACAACAAAGTCAATTTACAGTTCCACAACAAAGTCAATTTAGTTCATCTAGGAGGGCATATGTCAAAGACTTTCTCCTCTCAAATGCTTCAATTTTTATCCGCTACATATCTGGTTGGAATCTGCATCAGATCTCAGATCAGAGATTGAGGCCTAAAACCCCACCAGTCTCACAGATATCAGAGTTGCCAAACATGAAATATTTGTTGTCTCAAAATCTTTGTTTGAAGTGATAAGTTTACTGTGAGTGCAGTGATGCACGTGACCAATGTATGAACCACAGATTTATTTTCTCAGCAAGTTTCCAATATATTCCTAAACCCATTTCATTCATCTGTAAAACCATCTCGATATGGCCTGAAGAAGCTTGACAAGTAGAGTATAACAGTTGATTCCTCCACCTTAGACTCGTCCACTTGTCGGAGTCCGTGGGGATCTTGACATGACAGTTTATCGGGTTATCATTTGCAATTTTTGGTACATTTCCACAGAGACAGAGAAATATGTGTTATATCAAGCAATGTTTGAGATATTAGTAGTGTTCTTCTTAGAGAAAGTGTGCCTTCACGACTGTCAGTCAGTGTCCTGTGATATTGCTGCTTACTGTTTGGCGCGAACTGCCTCAGTTTGTCTGAGGTGACAGTGTAGTATCCTGTCAGGTGGGCTTGTCACCATTGTGCATCTCTGTCATACCCTAGCTGCAACATGAATACCTCGGTACCACCAACACACCATAGTTAATGTGTGTCACAAGTCTGACCCTTGTTAATGTGTGTCACAAGTCTGACGCTTGTTAATGTGTTACATGTCACACCAATGTTAATGTGTGTTCTACGTGTGTCCCCCAGTCTGACGTGTGTTACAAGTCACACCAATGTTAATGTGTGTTCTACGTGTGTCCCCCAGCCTGACGTGTGTTACAAGTCACACCAATGTTAATGTATGTTCTACGTGTTGCCATCCCCCAGTCTGACGTGTGTTACATGTCACACCAGTGTTAATGTGTGTTCTACGTGTTGCCATCCCCCAGTCTGACGTGTGTTACATGTCACACCAATGTTAATGTGTGTTCTACGTGTTGCCATCCCCCAGTCTGACGTGTGTTACAAGTCACACCAATGTTAATGTGTGTTCTATGTGTTGCCATCCCCCAGTCTGACGTGTGTTACATGGGTTGTTGGTAGTGTCCAAGCTCTACCTCAGTAGCTGTGTAGATTAACTTGAAAGTTTATAATAATTCAACCTGTGCGCCAAAACCTTTTGAGTCCACAAGACAGAATTTGGCTCTGAATCATCATTTTCAGATTTTAGTTTTATTATATGGACTATCATTAACTGAGCTTTCCTTACCGAATGGAATTTTACTCGACTCTGGCTTCGGACTAGTGTAGTTTTGCCTTTTATGTTTCCACTCATGATGCTGGGATGAAAGCGACATGGTCCTAGCTGTATGTTAATGCTTGTACAGACCAAAGGGTTGATGGCCACAACATATTCCTGAACTTCAAGTGAATCATCATCTGTTGTTGGTAAATCCACTGAATGAAGTGTCTGTTATGTTGGAAATAGAGATGCTGCCTATGATTGCGGAGGGTCCTAGGTCCTGATACTATCTTCCCCTATACTTCTCTTTGCTTCCAATACAATATATATTACACGATATTGCCTCGTGGGTTGCCTATGTTCATTATACAAGACATGATGACAAATACTTGTAGATACTTTGTGGGTATGAAGTGACAATTTCTGGACGTCTGGCCCAATTTCACAAAGCGATCGTAGTGCTGTCAGTGTTGTAACTCCTATTCTTTAACATAGACTTAAGGGAGTTGAAGCACTGCAAACACTTTGTAAAACAAGCCCTTGGACCCCGTTCCACAAAGCGGTCATAATGCTAAGGTGATCGTAACTCCAATAGTTCAACATTGGCTTTCTATGGTCGTAGTGGTACAATCACTTTGTGGAATGGGGCCCTGGTCTTCAGTTGAGTTGATTGTATAGGAGATGGGACCTATGGACGTGTTGGCCTATCAGGCAAGCAGAGCTGGTTCAGTGTGGTAGGCAATGTACTGCAATACAATGACATCATTGTGAGGCTTGTATCAGTATGCGGGTATTTTGTATCACAATATCAATGTAGTGTATCACTGCTCAAGTAGAACAATGCTGATCCATGTTGAAGTATCTTACACCAGTAGCCCTGCCCATTGCTCATAGTTTCGGAATCAATGTCATGTGTCAAGATTTGTTCATATTTCATATGAGTCAGATTAGTTTTGTTATGATGCTTGGCTCAATCTTGTGAGAGCATGATCAAGAAATGTACAGTTTATATTTTGTCAGTATTGAGGTTTTCTGGGATGTATTTTCTCTCCTTCCTTACACTGGTATGAATTAGGCATGCCAAGCTCAAACAAAGGCCTGATGTAGCAGCTGTAGTGTTCTACTCTTTAGTATCCTGTATTCTGCTTGTCCATCGGATAGAGGGTCCAGATTTGTCTGTGAACACCATTAGGGCTTTGATATTCTCTCCTGCAGCCCTGAACAAGGATACAAGGTCAAGATTTATGTGTGAAAACGTCACTTTTCATTTTAAGTAAGACTTTTCTTGAAGTTTGGGTGGCCCAGTCTTCTAAGGCGCCGCGATTCGCTGTGCAGAGTTGCGTCCCTTGGGCACGCCAGAAACCTATGATTGTGGGTTCGAATCCCGGTTCTCCCCAATTATGTTTCTAGGTTTGTCAGCACCATACCCGTGCTCGTGGGTTTCACCGAAGTGGTAAACGTCTGAGACCTGCATCACCTCAGGATTTCCTCCCACATTAAGCTGACACGCCGTGATATAACTGGAATACTCTTGAAGTTTGGTGAAGGCTATATGTGTAGTAACAGCTTTATGCTGTGGGTGAGTTGCTTCGCGCTTTGTGTGGGATATTCCTGAGGGTTGTAAACTTAATATCAAATGAAACTGTTATGAAATATTGCTTTCTTGTTTGTGTATCTTTTTATCGTTGTTGATTGATTGAGTTGATGATCAAATCAAATTATACACAAAATTTACTATGCTTACAGTTGTACAGACTGATTATGATTATGTTTTTTTTATAGTTTTAATTGGGTGTCATCTCTGTATGTCAACATGTTCTGTTGAGCCTCTTAAAGAAACATATATATATCATGAATCAAGAGCAAACTTATTTTTTATTTATACTTTATTTTTTGGAAGTAAGTGGCTCAGAACGTCTGTTTCCATGGCTTTTTGTCTCCTGCTGATTGTAGAAACAGATAAATTCTTTCAAAGGGTTCTATAAAATCAAAATTTCATTTTTTTATGATGTTTAAGGAAAGTCTCCTTGAAACTTTTGATGTTGATCTCAACACTTGCTGCTGCTGAATGTTTGTTGCAGAATTTCTTCATGGCTTTCTGTTAATGTGGACATGAATGCCTAAGCTGCCTAGGCACTACACTTCACTGTGCAGAGTTGTGTGCCTTACCCATGCCAGGATCATGGGTTCGATACAGATGAACCCTGCTTTATGACCTGTGTCGTGTGTGCTTGAATTAACAATAATCAGTATAATATTAACCCCTGTGACACCTGTTGCACGTAGTTCAAATGACTGAAGGAAGCCCAGTGGTTACAGCATTTACTCGTCACGCCAAAGACCCGGGTTCAATTCCCCACATGCGTACAATGTGTGAAGCCCATTTCTGTTGTCCCCCACCGTGATGTTGCTGGAATATTGCCAAAAGCGGAGTAAAATCAAACTCACACACTCACTCTTACCTAAACCATCTTGTAAGGCTTTTGTCAATATACGCATTTAGTTATGCTCAAGTTTAGTAGTTACAAGATTGTTTATGTCTGCTTTTATGTTCTTTAATATAAATTGTTCATATGCATATGATATATATACCACACAAAAGAAGTTAGAGAAAACCAGATTCTTTCATGTTTCTATTCGTCTTACTGCTTTTGAGTAGTATATATCGATCTACAGAGTTATTTTATTTTTCTCGGTTGCCAGTGTGATCAGTGATATCCATGACATGTATACTTTATAGTCCGTATTTGTGCATTTGTTTTTACTGAGACCCTTGTTGCCTAGACATATACATAAGTTTGATGGAAACAAGCATGTACATTTAAATTGGAAAGGAGCCCGAGTGAGATGGGAGATTCAGAACCTGAACCTGTGGAAAATCTAGACTTGCTTCATTTATCACATTACAGTAAAGGCTGGTCATCATGACCAGGAAAATAAGTATGTACGGGTAAACTGAAAATATAGTTGATGAATATGCATCGTTCATGAGCGTCTTCGTCTGGTTTCGTTCCAAGGAAGGGTAGTGGTAAGGATGGTATATATATATGTTAGCTTTATATCCGTACCTTGCTGAGTTCTAGTATCACAACAACCAACTTTGAGTGATTATAGTTTCAGTGCATAGACGGTAGTTTGGAGTTGTGTGAATGGCTGAAGATGAGCCGAGTCGACTTGACACGTGCATGCGCCGACTCGTGTCAAGGCTGTCACATGGTCACATGATGCTCGCACTGTCTGTTCATATTTCACATTCCTCCATCGACTCTTGAGGTTAGACGCTTTAGTTGTTTCCTCAGTTTGAAACTTGGTTCTCGAGGTTGAACACTTTAGTTGTTTCCTCAGTTTGAAACTTGATTCTCGAGGTTGAACGCCTTAGTTGTTGCATCAGTTTGAAACTTGATTCTTGAGGTTAAATGCATTAGTTTGAAGCTCGACTCTCCAGGTTAAAACGCTTCTGCTTTTACCGATAGTTGACCGTTATTCAAGCAGTGAGGATGGCCAGTATTACACCACAGTACAAGCAAGGATATGAGGGTCATGGGAGTCCTGGCTAATTAAATGTTCTTGCCCGTATAAATAACAGACATATTTCCTTGAGCTTGTTCTCTTGACTTGAGGGAGGCACGGAAGGCCAAGTCGTCTAAGGTGCCGCGATTCGCTGTGCAGAGTTGCGTCCCTTGGGCACACCAGAAACCTATGGTTGTGGGTTCGAATCCCAGTTCGCCCCGATTATGTTTCTAGGTTTGTCAGCACCATACCCGTGCTCGTGGGTTTCACCGAAGTGGTAAACGTCAGAGACCTGCATCACTTCGGGCTTTCCTCCGACATTAAGCTGACACGCCGTGATATAACTGGAATACTGTTAAAAGCGGCATTAAACCCAACTCACTCACTCTTGACTTGAGCATATTTCCTGACCATAAACAACATGTACAACAGCACATAGAAGGATCTCTACTTATAGAAAGAGTATTTTTAATCATAAACCATATTTTTATCTGTCATTCTTTATGGACCAGTGCCATGAACTGTGTTGTAAATAGTTCTATATATCATCAAGTGTTGCCAATCAATATTGCTGCCTTACACTGCGGGATGCCTTAAGGCTTTGCCTCGAGTCCGATGCATTTCCTTATATAATGCATCAACAGCTAAATTAGGCACTGGCTAAAGAATCATATCAAACATTTGAGCATGATTGACTTCTATGTTTCTATGCAATAAGGCCAGAACTTTTTGATTTCTTGCTTACATTTATGACTAAGGCCTGATTTGTATTTAGCAAGGCTTACGAATCCACCGACTCCAAATAATTGAAATGTGAAAAAAGAAAGAAAAGTAGTGGGGTTTATAATTCTTGTATTTTGTATTATTATAAGTGAAATGTTAAAAAGCAACTCCCAACTGTCACTATGAATATTAATGAATTATATCTAAATTTCTCTGACCATTTTTCTTGTATTTTCTCCATAATAAGGTGAGATATTGATTTGTGATGATTTGGCTCAACCTAAATGCTGAACAGCCCTTGTGATGATGCAGCATCTGCCTTACATGATCTCAGTGTACAGGTAAGGGATGCACCTTCTAGAATAATTTACATGCACCACTGTTCCATGGTGAAAATACTGGTGTGGACAATCAACCCCAAAATAACATACACAGTCATTCAAGGGACGTAAATCTCATTTCTTGGTTGTCTTTTAGGTTGGATCAGTTCAGTTTTAGGGATGTTTAAAAAATATTGCATGCCAGCTGTAAAATGGTTGATTAGACATAACATTGAAATGATGCTCTAATTCAAATATACTGCTAAAAACAAGTCCGATTCTTTCATATTACTTTAGTTAATCTGTCTAGGCATGACATAAACTATAGTAATATGAAAGACTCAGGTGGTCCTTAACTTGTTTTTAGTAGTATACCAGTGGTTGCTGATTATTTTGTGAATACCCTTACCGGTACAATTGAAGAATTTTGTTGAGAGTTGTTTGAAATACTGAAGTGTACATTATCAGTTATAATGAAGGTTGTCATTGTTGATGTTGCCAAGGGTATATGCATGTACTCTGTATCAGTTTGTGTGTACAACTAGTTGACCGACATGTTGTGTATGTATCAGATATATGAATCATTTATGAAACAAACTCAATGTTCAGGTCGGATGAATACCTGACTGAAATATTTCCGTATATACAAAATGTTAATTGTACTGTGAATGTTTGTGACTAACAGAAACAGATGGCTACAAGTACACCTTGTACTGCAATACCCACATACAAGAATACCTCTCAGTGTCTTTTTCAGTCATTGCTGTCTACATCAGTGTTTGTTGCATACCTGGGCCACAGCACACAGCACTGCGTTCTGCTTCAGTGCTTAAAGATGTACCCTAGTTATAAAACAGCAAACCAGATTCAAAATGTACAGATCTTTTTAAGAGGTTTTGTAAATCTACTTGAAGACAAGGGGGGCATATTTGTTTTTAACACCAAGTAGTAATTTTGTAAATGTTCATGCTGAAAGTTTCAGAAAACATTTTTAGCCTGCTTTTGTCTCTGATTATGATTGATATATCAAATTCTGGTCCAAGAAGTATGATTCTATACTTACCTTTTACTGGAATTATTTTGCATTTATGATTTATGATCTGAAGAATGTAGATGTTGCTAGTGATCATATTGCTGTAATTTACTATTATTTGTAATACATATTGAAATATTTTGTAAAAAACAGGTCATGTCCGGAGGTATATTTTTCAGTGATCCATTCATATTATTTTAACCCCTATTTTGCCTTTATACAACCAGTGGATTCAGTTTCATCAGAACTAGACTGATTATCCTCTGGCATTGACATTTTATTTTTTTAGGATAGAAATAGAAAATCAGTTATATTATTAGCCAAGCTGTACTACAAGTAATCTGTAAATTGCACACAGCGGTTTACTTTGTTGGATGGAGTTGTTACTGATTCTGTCACAATCAAATTGTTGCATTGTGTGAAACTTAAAATGGCATTGTATTTTTAATAAGATGATTTTTTGTTGAGCAAACAGAAATATGATTGAATGTTGTAAAGTGAGACCGAGACAACCACAGGTCATCTGACATGGTCATTATGTACTTCGCAAGCACCTGGGCCCACTTGCACAAAGCGATCTTAGTGCTAAGATTATCGTAACTCCCATTCTTTAACATAGGCTTACGATAGTCTTAACGCTAAGATCGCTTTGTGCAAGTGGGCCCTGGTGTCAGCACTGCTTTTTAGTGATCTCTTCGTATAATTTGACTGCTATTTTGCCTTTCACGTCCAATGAGTCTGTTTCGTGGACCATTGAGACTGATTATTCTCTGGCCTTGACATTTTATGTTTTACTGCAGCACTTTTGTTATTATGGGTTTCCTGGATCAGCAAGAAATTTCCAATTTATTGATGAAGTTTTCCCTTGCATGAATAGTAACTCAAGACTACCATGGTGTTTCTGGGGAAGAGGGGTTCTTAGGAGCCAATGTTTTTATGTCCAGATGTGAAATAAGTGGAAAATAGTTGGTCACTTTGTCTTGACCTTGTGGGGGGCACGGGTGGCCCAGTCGTCTAAGGCGCCGCGATTCGCTGTGCAGAGTTGCGTCCCTTGGGCACGCCAGAAACCTATGATTGTGGGTTCGAATCCAGGTTTCGCCCCAATTATGTTTCTAGGTTTGTCAGCACCATACCCGTGCTCGTGGGTTTCACCGAAGTGGTAAACGTCTGATACCTGCATCACTTCGGGCTTCCCTCCCACATTAAGCTGACACACCGTGATATAACTGGAATACTGTTAAAAGCGGCGTTAAACCCAACTCACTCACTCTTGACCTTGTGACCTTGAAACCAAGGTGTAGATTTTGCTTGCTTCGGATAATTTATTGCCTTTCTGTCAGCCTGTCTTTATTTCAGACTCAAGCTTGAAGTGTTTTTGTCTCGACACTTTTAAGATCTTTGAATAATATTTTTCCATTTTTGATCTGACACTCCAATGATCAATGTTCTGTGCAAACTTGATAGCAATCTCATTAAAATCAGACCTTAGTTCTCACTACTGCTAAACAAAGATCTGAAGACATCCCATTAGGGTTCACGTCAGAACGACCTTTCATCCGACCAATGAGAGTGTCGCTTACCAGATCATGAAAGTGACAGTCAGAATGTGATTTCTAATCATACAACCTTGAAAGCTTTAACACGGGTATTCCGAACGATAGTTACAGGTTTTACACGTTTAACGACTGAATCCATACAATCTAGATCATCTATTAGCTATTCCAGAATGTTCTTTTGTTTAGGTTTCAAATTTGTAATCAAGAATTTGTCCAAATATGTTTCGAAGCGTAGCCAATTTGAAATTAGTGCCGTAAAGCACAAGAAAGCTGCCTTCTGATTGGTCATTCTATTGGTCGGTCAAAGTTCGCGCAAGGTCGGTCTGACATGACCTTTAATGGGATGTCCTCAGATCTTTGTTTAGCGGTAGCGGGAACTAAGTTCTGATTTCAATGATATTGACTCGATAGTTAATTAATTCAAATGTTTTTCAGGATTGTTATTAAATGGCAGGTGCTGAGTGAGAAGTACATATTGATGATGCAGATAAAACCTTGGGCAGTGATGTATTGTGTCAACATGTCGTATCACCATGTATGTGTATGTTGTTTACTGTGTTACCATGGCAACTGCTGATTGATATGCGAATGCGACATCACTGTCACAACCATTATGTTTGCAATAAACAAAGTAATTCTTTCAATGCCCTGTCTTCCTTGTTCTGTTATTGTGGATTTAAGAGGAGACTCTGGTTTTTTTCTTTTTGGAAAGCAAAAACATTCTTGTTTTCTTCCAACATCCTGTCCTGTCTGGAAGAGGTTTGTTTTTTAAGATACATGCTTGTTGTAACTTCTCACCATTTACATGGTCATTGCAATCCAAGCAAGGAGGAGGTGAGGTAGCCTTGTGGGTAAGGATTTAGCCCCACATCGAGCTTGTTTCACTCAGTGTAGCTGGACTGCTGCTAAAAGCTGTGGAAAACTCACTCACTCACAGAGAAGGCTGTCATTTAAGGTGGCTGGATTACTGCTATCAGCTGTGTAAATATCAAACTCACTCTAAACAAAGAGAAGATTTGTCATTTAACATGGCTGGAATACAGCTAAAAACTTCTTAAAACTTGCCTCACTCACTCCAAACAAACACAAGACTCTCATTTACTGTAGCTGGAATACAGCATAAAGCTTAGTAAATCACAACTCACTCACTCCAAACAAACACAAGACTGTCATTTACCTTGGCTGGAGACCCCAGAAGATCCGGGGTAGAATAGGTCTTCAGCAACCCATGCTTGCCCTAAAAGGGGACTAACGGGATCGGGTGGTCAGGCTCGCTGACTTGGTTGAAGCATGTCATCGATCCCAATTGCGTGGATCGATGCTCATGATGTCAATCAAAAGATTGTCTGGTCCAGACTCGATTATTTACAGACCGCCCTCATATAGCTGGAATATTGCTGAGTTCGGCATTAAACAACAAACAAACAAACAAATACCGTGTCTGGAATACAGCATAAAGCTTAGTCATTCTCAACTCACTCACTCCAAACAAATACAAGACTGTCATTCAACATGGCTGGAATACTGCTGAAAGCTGTGTAAAACTTACCTCACTCACTCCAAACAAACACATGTCTGTCTTTAACGTGGCTGGAATACTGATAAAAGCTGTGTAAAACTCACCTCACTCACTCCAAACAAACACAAGACTGTCATTTAAGGTGGTTGGTATACTGTTAAAAACTGTGTAAAAGTCTACCCATTCTTATTTAACGCTGCACGCAGCAATATTACAGCTATATGACAGCGGCCTGTAAGTAATCGAGTCTGGTCCAGAAAATCCAGTGATTGACATATCGATCTAGGCAATTGGGGTACGATGACATGCATTAACCAAGTCAGCGGGTCTGGCCACAGAAGGGAAAGAGGTTCCTACTCCGGATAGATTGACCATAACGATGTTCTTTCTGACTGATAAAAACTATTGAACTTTAAGTGACAAAGTGACAGTGTTACGGGGATGGCATGTTCTGTGAAAAATACCCTTTCTGACATCCAGTGGGGCGGTCGGGTAGCCTAGTGGTTAAAGCGTTCGCTCGTCACGCAGAAGACCCGGGTTCGATTCCCGACATGGGTACAATGTGTGAAGCCCATTTCTGGTGTCCCCCGCCGTGATATTGCTGGAATATTGCTAAAAGCGGCGTTAAACCATACTCACTCACTCACTCTGACATCCAGTACACAGACCACACATGTGTGCGAACTGCCACGCCTTTAAAATGTGTTTATACAATTTGTTTACCTGCCTATTAAATTATTTACTTGTATCATATAAATATATATTGTCAGTCGTTAAGGAGGGATCATGCGCATGATAGTGAACAACTGATTTTCACCTAATCTCTGGGACGTCGTGCGATGTTTTTCTCGAAATGTGTATTGTGTATCAGCATGTGTCTTGCTTAATCCGTAATGAGGGGGAAGTCGTCTCAGACAGAACAGAATTTATGTTTCAAAAGACTTGGGCAGATCCCCTCGTCTTATAATACAATGTATAGAGAGTATGGAGGTTGGACATTTCGGGTGAACAATACACGATTGTCCATTTTTCCGCCATCTTACCGGAAATAAAAAACGTCGACGATGTGCGCGCCGATTTCGACAAGGACCTCACATATCACTGTTGTCCCTGCGTCATTCAGCATCACTATCGTGATACCTTTGTATGTGTTGTGACGGGTGCCACCGGTGGGGCAGGATACGTTCATCTTTTCGCGAACACCTGCAGGGTATCATCACTATCTGAAAGCGATTCATACAACACATGCCCATGATATAGTTGGAATCGTACAATCGTTTTTGGCAGAGATTTCTTACGAATATAGAAAGGGTTTTGTGGCTAGTTTTTATCACACCTTTAAACTTTGAAGTTAGTAATGCTTGGGTCAGTCACTACCCGAGCAGCCCTATTCTTCCGACAGACCGTATTGTTCTTAGGTTAGCTTTGCATGCTTTTTAACCCCCACTTGCACCTCAGTCATTTTACTATTGACAAGTCATGGACAAGTTGACACATTTTCAATACATTTTACTTTCCCAATACGTTTACAACTAAATGCATACACATAATATAAATATACGTTCTCTTATGTGTGAGAATGAATCAATGGCTGATTCTCCAGGAAAGGCAGTTATTTGAATATGTTTATGAGTGAGTGAGTTTGGTTTAACGCCGCTTTTAACAGCATTACAGCTATATTGCGGCGTGTTAGCTTAATGTGGGAGGAAAGCCCGAAGTGATGCAGGTCTCAGACGTTTACCACTTTGGTGAAACCCACGAGCACGGGTATGGTGCTGACAAACTTAGAAACATAATCCGGTCAACCTGATTCGAACAAACAATCATAGGTTTCTGGAGTGCCCAAGGGACGCAACTTTGCACAGCGAATCGCGGCGCTTTAGACGACTGGGCCCCCCGTGCCCCCCCCCCCCGAAATGTTTCTGAAGCTTTTATAATGCACATCATGGTAAGCGTGTGGACATTTATGATAGTATTAGAAAGTTTGATATTGTGATTTATGATAGTGTTATGTTCTGATCTGAAAATATTTATTTAAAGTACCACTGACGGGGTAATATGTGGTCCACACATATAAGAGCATTTGTGTAGTTTCGTCAGGATATGGCTTTCGCCCGTAACCCCCCCCCCCCCCCCCCCCACCCCCAATGCACATATATATCACTTTTGGAGGGGGCATACGGTGGAAGTCCTTTCCAACCTACATCAGCCTGGTTTATCCTTTGCCTAAAGAATACCAGATGAAGACTGGCAAGCAGTCTATGGTCAGAGAGAGCGACCTTGACATTGGGTTCGATATTTACAGCGATGGCAGAAGCAAAAGGTAGGCTCGGTGTTTCGGAGCTGCTTGTTGATGTTGTTTGTCATGTCAGTTAGTAAGAGTGCGTGTCCCAAATAGCTAAGGATTGCCGGGTGTTGCATGCAGTGATGACAGTGAAAATTTCACACAGGGAATCTAGAGGATATTAATTATTATGAGTGTTGCCATACCAGTTATCCTATGTCAGTATGTGAACTTATGGCAGAGTGTCTTAGATCCGGTAGGCCTATTTAGCGAGCGAGAGCGAAGCAAATACTGATATCTAGGCACGAGTGTCGTAAACATAGTATGACATGAACATTCATATAATGTTCTATTTATTGCCGAAGAAGATGTCTTGACAGTTTACCGAGCGCTACCATCCGTTCGTTACCGCGCTATAGCGCGACCGCTGTCTCGCTATACCGCTACCGTGGCTCTCTCTTTACAATCCAAGACTCCTTTTCGGTCTTAGGGAAACTGACAAGACTTTACCATTCAACACCCCTTTTCGGTCTTTGGGAAACTGACACGCCTTTTCGATCAAACACCCCTTTTCGATCACGAGATCGAACGTGCGAAACACATCGCCATGCACCACAATCTCATTAAAATCAGACTTTACTTCTCCTAAGGCTAAACAAAGATCTGAAGACATCCCATTAGGGGTCACGTCAGAACGACCTTTCATCCGACCAATCAGAGCGTCGCTTACCAGATTATAAAAGTGACAGTCGGAATGTGATTTCTAATCATGTGATTTCTAATCATGGCTCGTCACAGTAGTGGGTGACCTCGTTAAGGTGAACACTATCAAGCTGACTGTCGTTCATTTAAGAATTATGAAAGTTTAACCAGCGCTTTTAAATCATTCACACTTCAATGAATCCATCCAAACTGACGTTCAATTCTTATAATTTCATTCTTTGTAGTTTACTGGTCTCGCCGAATAATAATTTCTTTACTTTCATTATTAGTATTGAAAGATAGCCATTCCATATCCAAATCACCATAAGCATGATAAGGACAATCCATTTTGTTTCATGTAGCAGCTAGACAACATCAAATACCAGAACCAGGGCATTTATTTATTTATAAGTCAGATGAAATGTTACAAGACTAGGCAAAAATACTAAATTAATTATATTGCTGATAAATGCAGGGATTAAAAAGAACATAGAAAAACGAGTTGATCGTAAACACCAATCGAGAATTCGGGGAAACCCCGGAAAGTAGTTCCGGCAAAAGTTCACACGATCAATTTCACAAAAAATTGTTCACATCGTGTGAACTTGTTTTGTCCGTTCACAGGTGTGTGAACTCCAAATATCAGATCACTGACTACCCATTCAGCCAATCAGCATGAAAGAAACAGTGTAAACTTCAAAGTATGAAATTATTTAAGAATTGAACGTCAGTTTGGATGGGTTTATTGAAGTGCTAACGATTTAAAAGCGCTGGTTTAACTGTGTTGCATCGAAAGTTTAACCAGCACTTAATGTTTATACAGTAGAGTAGATATTGTTATACTTGAGTAGAGAAGCCAGTTATGTATCAACGGGATAATGGCTGATTGGGGTCTTTGATGAGTTGATGGTACGCCGGGGGTATGTAATAGCCTTGGTCACGGTTGATCAACACCCAAAGTTCACAGAACGTTAATATCAATCCATTTTAATCTTCACCCGGGTCTGGATTTCTTTCCAAAGCTAAGTTTACTTGGTGCAACTTTTTATTTCAAGTGAACTTTTATTTTCTGCCGTTTGTAAAACCAAGGGATGTCACTCCAAATGGAATGGTTTGGGACGGATGACGTCACGACTCTCCGCGTTCGTATAGTTCGCTTTAAAAAAATTAAAGTCTGATGTTTAATAGATTGTATTGTTATGATTTATGTATCTGTCAATATAAGAATTGAAGTTGTATAAAGACAGTGCCTCACGTGAGTAAATTTACCATGAAGCGCTTTAACGAGCACTGATTACATTGATAGTGCTCGTGGTCCAGTGGTAGAGCGTCGGCTAATCATCGCATTAATTAGCTAAGCCAGTGAGCCGGTAAAGCTTGTTCGAGCCCCCACAGCGCTAATTGGATGATGTCTACATACAGGGACGAATTTTAGTGTTTACAGAGTAATTATTAGTAATCAATAGTTATTATTACCTACAAGGGCAGACACATCGAGGTTCATAAAAATCATATTATAAGAACATTATATTAGCTCATGCTTGGGAAATACCGGATTTTAGACACTTGTGTCATAAATAGTCTGACATGAACACTCATATAATATCCTCTATGTCTAGCTGGGGTTACCGTACCACTCTTTGTTCATGTGGGTCCGCCGTTAGCCGAGAGCTGCGTAGGGTCCCTAGTCAAGATAGGCTCATGTCTTGACTGTAGCTCCCATCGCAGCTCACGGCTAGTCGGTCTTCTTCTGACAACCAGGGTAATTCTGACCACAGGACCAGATAACTAATAATAATAACAAACAAACTCTCAGATGAGGCCGAAGGCTAAACGACACACTCAGCAATATATACAGGCTGTATGACGACAATCTGGAACTAATCAAGTCTTGACCAGACAATCCATTAATTGATATCATGAGCATTGATCTACACAACTGGGATATGATGACATGCATCAGTCGAGACTACCCGATCTTGTTAGTCACCTCTTACAACAAGCATAGTCGCCTCTTTCAACTAGCGTGCATGGGTTGCTATGATCAAACACTTCGACAACAACATTCTAAATGACCCATCAACCTACCTTGCTGAAGAAAGATCCAACCAACTGCCTGTAGAGAGAACACGAAGCCCTGCTGAAACAATGACAACTAGACGGGCTCCACCATACAAATGAAATTGAGCGTTCCACATTCCAAACCACCCAAAACCAGAGCCACCTTCAAGATTGACAGACCGCCTCCGTGGTCTAGTGGTAGAACGTCCGCCCAGAGAGCGGAAGGTCCGGGGTTCGATCCCTGACCGCGTCATACCAAAAGACGTTAAAAGATGGTACTTGTTGTTACCCTGTCTGGCACTCGGCATTAAAGGGCTAAAACAAGGACTGGTCGGCTCATAGTCAGTAAACTGTGTCTGAGTGGGGTATTCATGTTAAACTGCGGCATGGTATCTCAGTGTGCTAGCACTATAAATCGTTATCAGTCCGGACTAGTACAAGCAGCCACACACACGTGCATGCATGTCACTATATAAGTGCAATAATCTTGGAGGCGACGTTAAAACCAATTTCACCTCACCTCACCTTCAAGATTGACAAAGGTCCCATTAAAGCCCCCCTCCTAGTCTGCTCAAGTAACACTGTCAATTTCAATACTGCTCAGCACCATGCCGGCCTCCTAGAACCCCTAGGGAAACCGCCAAGTCCTTCATCACTGATTCAGTAGTATTCTGTAACAAGATCAGCACCATCAACCAGCCTGGTACGGTCATCAGCTATGATGTAGTAGAACTCCTTACCAACATACCCAGAGACGAGGCCCTTTCCATCATCATCATCATCAGAAGAACAGACGATATCCACGCTACCTTGGATATCCACCTCTCTACGGAGAGCATCGTGCCACTCATCAACTCCTGCGTCAGCTTATCTTACTTCACCGGGCAAGACAAGATCATACAACAAACCCATGGTCTCCCTTGGGAAATTCTCTCTTCCCTCATCATCACCCAGATCTGCATCCAGCCAACTTCCACACATTCAGAAACTGACAACCAGCTACCTTTCCTTGATGTTAGAGTCCACAAGTTGACAACAAACTCCAAACAAGTGTGTATCGCGAACCCTCCCATACTGACCAGTATCTTCACTGCTCATCAAACCCTCCCCCACAAGTCAAGAGAGGTATAATAGCCACCCTAGCCCGACGAGCCAACTGCTCCACACCTGAATACCTTGAAGCTGAACTAGTCACCTACAACATGCCATCCAAAACTACAACTTACCTGGGAGACTAGGAGCCCAGACCATCAACGCCACTCTCATCCCTAGAGAGAAGACCCCCACGCCCACACCATGTAACAGCTCCAGTTGTCATCAGCCTGTCCTACATCATCTTCTCGAGGCAAGTGAGTTAACTGACTTTAAAAGTCCAGTTTCCACCCTTGCGGAACTAGGCTGGTATTATGGAGTTACATTTTGGCTGGACTAACGAGTATGCATAGTCCAATCACAATCGCACAACGAAATCGAAATCTGGTTTGTAAACTGTCCTGCAGATTTCGGTTGATTGCAGGATTTGCAAAGCGTGTGCACTGTCAACAGATATTTTCCAAATCTTTTCATGTTTTTAATCAAGATGCTCATGTGATTTTATGTACCGTATATGACCGCGGATAAGCCGACCCCGTAGATAAGCCGAGGTGCTAACTTGACCATTGAAATACGAGAGAAAATGATATGACCCGCAGATAAGCCGAACCAGGAAGTGAAAGGCAAAAAAACACTGCGAAGTCGGACTGCAAGACATGTGCTGGTACTCGCAGATATTAAAAAATATAAGATGAAAAACGTTGTAATTATATTGAAAAAGTCATTATTATTTCTAATAAAGATTTAACAAACCAGTCATCCACTTTCATAATGTGGGAAGCTGTTTCTCTTGAAATTTTGAACCCGGTCACTGGATCACTGTGCACTAAAGAATCATTCTCAGCTTCCTTGGAAGTATACAACCCAAGCTGCCTGTTAAGCGCTAGAAGGTTAACAGCCACATTACCATCTCATCCTACCGGGTACCCATTCACTGCTTGGTGAACAGAGGTACATTTCGAACTAAGTCACTTGCCCATGGAGACGCCACATGTGTTACATATAAGAAATAAACGACTCATGGTCATTGTTTATCGTACAATAAAACACTGCATCGAATATAAACCATGTGGGATGCAGCAAGTATCATAAGCCTATGTGAAAGTTTGGGAATAAAGATCACCATAACACTCTGATTGCTTTGTGGAACGGGGGGGGGGGGCCCAGGCCCACTGAGCTGATTTGTGACTGCTGTAATCTGGACGTGTGACCCCATCCAGCACAGGTCACTCTCACTAAGTAGTGGGTCAGGCAAACAGTATCAAGCAGGACATTTATCATGGTCATAGGAGCTTGTATTTCTGTGTTGACACTAGCTTTTGCACTACACTATATGTAGACTGTGTGCCATTCTTGATTGTCAAGTATATGAAATTTCCAACTCTGAATGGAAGCTGTATCATGATAGAAGGGAGATTGAGGCACTGGATCAGTCAAGCAGGCCCGGTACATGTATCCAAGAAAACGTTATCGTAATTACTGGAACATGATACGCGACTGCAGGGGGTGAAAAATCCCTAGGTCTGAGGTCCAAGACCTGTCCAAGACCTGTCCAAGACCTGTCAATTTATTAAAAGGACCAAGAAATATATTTTTTCACTCTTAGGTATTTTATTGTACGATAAACTTGTTGTTAATTTCTTAAATAAATGACAGTCATTTGAATAAATTAAATTAAATTAACTATCATTTTGATTGTAAAAGGAATGAGTTTGTGCTGCAGTCTGATTGGTTGAAAAACGTTGATTGAGCTTGTATCCCGGAAATCTTTCGGACTTTTCACTGCACATGAATACTTTTCTTGACAAGTATCATTGTTTCAAAAACTGGCCATTTGACTTGCCCAAACAATTACCACATCAATTAAGTAGTATGTGGGATCAATATTTATCAGAGTCTTTCATTTAGTTGTTTTTTGCCTCATTTTGCAAACCAGCTGGTTCATTTATCACAGAAGCATGTGATGTTATCCATTGTATCCACGACGTCAAGACATTTCGGAGTGACGTCATGTCTGTCTTGCTCAGATGTGGTTGCAAACATAATTTTGCGGCGTCAAATACTTAATCACACCCACACATAATATTGATCTCCTCATGGTATTGTTTTTTTCCTCCCAATCAGATCAGCTCTACGATGCCCCTGTGGTTTCATGTCCATCTGTGGAGGAGTTGACCAAAATATCGGAGGAGATGAGACTAAAATGCTCAGCAGAAGATATTGAAACTATACTAGGTAAGGCATGACAAATACAGGCATGGTTTCTGTGGAAATATTGTATCTGGAACAGTGGTAAAGAATTCAAATGCAAAATAACCCAGTTACCCAGTTGACACACCCCTCCAAGTTTACTCTTTGTCACGTGTGTGTGTTCCGTGTAAGTCAAATGAAAATTAATTATTCAATTTGGGAATATCGTACCTGGTGCAGTGTTAAAATATTCAATTACAAAAACAATGACAGTATGTACCTAGCAGACAGAACAGAATTCTCCTTGCTATTTGTGTCTATGTAAGGCCAGTACAAATTTAATGTTCGATTTCACTCAATTCTCTTCAAATTCCCTTGAGTTTGAGTCTTATTTGCTTCTGCCAGGTCAGTTCAAGTCCACAGTGCCTGCGTTCCAGCGTGTATCCCATCTTCAGCAGCCTTCACTTCCAGTCAAGTATCCTCGCACCCCGGGGTACCAACCCGCAAAGGATGACAACCCTTTCAATGCATGGTAACAATACTGTATTGTTTGCGTCAGTGTTCCACTTTCAGGATTTATGCGACGCACAAATGAAGAGAATGCAGCCGAAAAAGAATATACTGTGTTCCAAGGGATGCACAATAATAATCGTTGTTCCAACAAAGCATCAAGAGCAGTCAGTCATCCATCAAGCATGACCACTGTCTTCATTGACTCATTCTAGGTTCTGAAGGAACAATCAAAATGTACAGTACAGTACATCATTTCATTACTTTACAGGACCCTCATATTGCCTGTAAGGACCCTTGTTAATTATTGGGACCCTTGAAGATTCCGGGGTAGAATAGGTCTTCAGCAACCCATACTTGCCGTAAAAGGCGACTATGCTTGTTGTAAGAGGCGACTGACGGGATCGGTTGGTCAGGCTCGCTGACTTGGTTGATACATGTCATCGATCCCAATTACGTGGATCAATGCTCATGATGTCAATCACTGGATTGTCTGGTCCAGACTCGATTATTTGACAGACCGCCGTCATATAGCTGGAATATTGCCGAGTTTGGCGTTAAACAACAAACAAACAAACAAATTAATTATTGGGGGTTTCCTGGGCCCCACTTTTGTAAGTCAAGGTCAAACCCTACACTTGAATTGATATAACGTTGATATGTAAGGTTGTGTATGCCGGTCATACTATTTCTGTACTCGCATACATTAGGTGCTAGATCACATGTGCACTTTATTTTAGGTCACTTGACTGAAAGTCAAGTTGGCTTATGGCATGGCTTGATGTCAGTTCATCTCTCCATCATCAACTTTTGTAGTTTTGGCATCTGTTATGAAGCTACAAGGGCTATTAAGCTGAAGCTTTGCATGGGCAATCCCAGGTGTGGTGACTCTGAAGGAGAACATGCTTGTAAATGTCAGTTAGTGAAGTAAAAAGAGTAGCCGAGGCCTGTGAGGCAATTATTTTAACAAGCTGACAGTTATTTTGTGAAAATTACAGTAAAGAGATGGCACTAGTAACATCAGTTAAAAACACTTGATTTCCCTTCTGAACATAACATTATCAGACTTGAACTTGATCATTGATATTGTCATGTCCAAAGTTCCCAGCCTGCATGCCAGAGACTCTCTGTCCATCTGTTTTTTTTAAGTCATGGCTACTAGCCACCAGTATACCCGTGGGTAGCAGATGTATTGTGATGTCTGGTCCCTGGTGTGATGTGAAACCCTGTAAGCCATATATGTGTTTGTGATGTTTGGTCCCTGGTGTGATGTGAATCCCCATAAGCCATATATGTGTTTGTGATGTTTGGTCCCTGGTGTGATGTGAAACCCTGTAAGCCATATATGTGTTTGTGATGTCTGGTCCCTGGTGTAGTGTGAATCTCCATAAGCATATATGTGTTTGTGATGTTTGGTCCCTGGTGTGATGTGAAACCCTGTAAGCCATATATGTGTTTGTGATGTTTGGTCCCTGGTGTGATGTGAAACCCTGTAAGCCATATGTGTTTGTCATGTTTGGTCCCTGGTGTGATGTGAAACCCTGTAAGCCATATATGTGTTTGTGATGTTTGGTCCCTGGTGTGATGTGAAACCCTGTAAGCCATATATGTGTTTGTCATGTTTGGTCCCTGGTGTGATGTGAAACCCTGTAAGCCATATATGTGTTTGTGATGTCTGGTCCTTGGTGTGATGTGAAACCCTGTAAGCCATATGTGTTTGTGATGTTTGGTCCCTGGTGTGATGTGAAACCCTGTAAGCCATATATGTGTTTGTGATGTTTGGTCCCTGGTGTGATGTGAAACCCTGTAAGCCATATATGTGTTTGTGATGTTTGGTCCCTGGTGTGATGTGAAACCCTGTAAGCCATATATATGTTTGTGATGTTTGGTCCCTGGTGTAGTGTGAATCCCCATAAGCATATATGTGTTTGTGATGTTTGGTCCCTATTGTAGTGTAAATCCCCATAAGCATATATGTGTTTGTGATGTTTGGTCCCTGGTGTGATGTGAAACCTTGTAAGCCATATATGTGTTTGTGATGTTTGGTCCCTGGTGTGATGTTAAAACCCTGTAAGCCATATATGTGTTTGTGATGTTTGGTCCCTGGTGTGATGTGAAACCCCATAAGCCATATATGTGTTTGTGATGTTTGGTCCCTGGTGTGATGTGAAACCTTGTAAGCCATATATATGTTTGTGATATCTGGTCCCTGGTGGGATGTTAAAACCCTGTAAGCCATATATGTGTTTGTGATGTTTGGTCCCTGGTGTGATGTGAAACCCTGTAAGCCATATATGTGTTTGTGATGTCTGGTCCCTGGTGTGATGTGAAACCCTGTAAGCCATATATATGTTTGTGATGTCTGGTCCCTGGTGTGATGTGAAACCCTGTAAGCCATATATGTGTTTGTGATGTTTGGTCCCTGGTGTGATGTGAAACCCTGTAAGCCATATGTGTTTGTGATGTCTGGTCCCTGGTGTGATGTGAAACCCTGTAAGCCATATATGTGTTTGTGATGTTTGGTCCCTGGTGTGATGTGAAACCCTGTAAGCCATATATGTGTTTGTGATGTCTGGTCCCTGGTGTGATGTGAATCCCCATAAGCCATATATGTGTTTGTGATGTCTGGGCCCTGGTGTGATGTGAAACCCTGTAAGCCATATGTGTTTGTGATGTTTGGTCCCTGGTGTGATGTGAAACCCTGTAAGCCATATATCTTTGTGATGTTTGGTCCCTGGTGTGATGTGAATCCCTGTAAGCCATATATATCTTTGTGATGTTTGGTCCCTGGTGTTCTAACCCACTAAGCCACAGTCTTCCACAAAAAATGGAAGTCCGACAACTGGTAGTCCAGATCACATACTTTGTGTACCCTGGATGGGTTTCAACCCCAAAAGTATGCGAATTTGTGCTTTACTATGAAAGTGTTATCCCAAATATCAGATTTGTTAAATACCATTGCATTTTTAAATTATCAGGACTTGTGATGTTGTATCGCAAATGTCATGTTTTCATTGGGCAAATTTGTGAATGGTAAACCAAACACACAAACTCCTACTGTCGCCATGACAATGAGATGCGCAGTAAAGCAGTGCGCATGTAAAGGGAAGTAACTGCACGCTATATTGGTTCACATTGTTTTTAGTATTGCAGCATTTTTTGTAAATTGAAATAAAAACAAAACGTGCGGCGCACTTTATGATGCAGCGATGTCTGAGAACCAAAACTACATGTATTTCTTTTTTAGCCTCAGGCTGTCAGTTTAACTGATTTGATGTGGGAGAAAGCTTCTGTTTCCCAGAAAACCATTTGGACTGTTATTGTTGATATATTTTTAGTGTCCATTTACGTGAATTTGACTGGAATCATAGATATCAGCGGAACTGTGGAATAATCATTATTCTTTTGTCAGCATATTAAATATAAGGTCATTAAAAAAAGTATGAAAAGTATATATGTCTTTTATACGAAGAAGACCGCCTCCGTGGTCTAGTGGTAGAGCGTCCACCCGGAGAGCGATAGGTCCGGGGTTCGATCCCCGGCTGCGTCATACCAAAAGAAGTTAAAAGATGGTTCAGTATGGAGTCAGTATACTGTGTCTGAGTAGGGTATTCATGTTAAACTGCGGCATGGTATCTCAGTGGACTAGCACTATAAATCGGCATCAGTCCGGACTAGTACAAGCAGCCACACAAACACACACACGTACATGCACGTTGCTATATAAGTGCAATAATCTTGGAGGCAACGTTAAACTCCATTTCACCTCACCTTTATACGAAGAAACTTGTTTGTTGCATCCTCTTGCCTGACTAATATAATGTCATGGAATAAAGGTGAGCTTCAGTCCCTGTGGTACTCTAATAAAGGTGAGCTTCATTCCCTGTGGTACTCTAATAAAGGTGAGCTTCATTCCCTGTGGTACTCTAATAAAGGTGAGCTTCAGTCCCTGTGGTACTCTAATAAAGGTGAGCTTCAGTCCCTGTGGTACTCTAATAAAGGTGAGCTTCAGTCCCTGTGGTAGTCTAATAAAGGTGAGCTTCAGTCCCTGTGGTACTCTAATAAAGGTGAGCTTCAGTCCCTGTGGTAGTCTAATAAAGGTGAGCTTCAGTCCCTGTGGTAGTCTAATAAAGGTGAGCTTCAGTCCCTGTGGTACTCTAATAAAGGTGAGCTTCAGTCCCTGTGGTAGTCTAATAAAGGTGAGCTTCAGTCCCTGTGGTACTCTAATAAAGGTGAGCTTCAGTCCCTGTGGTACTCTAATAAAGGTGAGCTTCAGTCCCTGTGGTACTCTAATAAAGGTGAGCTTCAGTCCCTGTGGTAGTCTAATAAAGGTGAGCTTCGGTCCCTCTAGTTCTAGTGTTGTTGCGCTGTGAATAATGATTTGCAGAGTTGATCTAAAATTAAATTAAAACTTATCAATTATATGTAAATTACTTATTTAGTCGAAACAAGGAACTAAACATGATTCTTTTAAATATGAGAATAAAATGTGAAAAAAACAAGAAGTGAAAATAATTGACATTGGAAGATTTATTGAACCAAGTTTCATTAGACTCATTTTTCATATTTGTCACAATATCCACAGGCTACAGAGCCTTATTGCATATTCTGATAGAGAAATATTTCCTTCATCAATGTTGATACCCCTAAAAATTTAGGATTTATTTAGCTGCCAAAAGTATTCTTAACCTAAGTTTGCATCCAAATAGTTCCCTGTGTGGACCAGCAGTGTGTAATAGTCATTGTTGGATCATCATCAATAGATATGTTGGTTACCTCAATTCGCTCACATCTGACAGGTACTGGCGATGTGACATCAAGGGTGCTGAGAAAGGTAAACTGGCTGGTAAAAAGATCGGAATCAAGGACAACATTGCGGTGGCTGGGGTTCCTATGATGAATGGAAGTAGGATTCTGGAAGGATACACACCTGAGTATGATGCCACTGTGGTCACCAGGATTCTGGATGCAGGTAAATAAAATGACAAAAAACGTTTCCATAATCATAAGAAATATCATTTTCTCAAGACAAACTGACTATAAAACTGACTATAAAAGTCCAGTTTCCACCCTTGCCGAAATTAGGCTGCAATTATGGAGTTATATTTTGGCTGGACTAACAAGTCTATGCATAATCCATTCAAAATCGTATAACGAAATTGACATCCAGTTTGTAAACTGCCGTGCAGATTTTGGCCGATTGCAGGATTTGCACAGTATGTGTACTGTCAACTGGATGTTGAGAGATATTTTCATAATCATTTCCTGTTTTTAATCAAGATGCGCACGTGATTTGATGCACTTTGCGAAATAAGACCCATTGTATCACAATATGGATTTTGATTATTGCCCAAATTGTCTTGACTGGGTGCCACCATTTTTTTTAAAGGAAATGCAAGTAATATGAGAGGTCGAATCTGATTAGCCAATTTGAGGGACACAGAATTTACATAACTGGTAAAAGCCACTGGTGGCGGTACAATCAAGACCAGAAATTCCAGCCTAAATCGGCAAGGGTGGAAACTTGACTTTTACAGTCAGTTAACTCCCTTGCCTCGGGAAGATGAAGAAATATCTGTTAAAAGACAAGTCAATTGTACAATTCTGACTATATCTTGGGAATGTGCTGTATGATGTGTTTTGAAATCTTCATAGAAATAACATGCTCAATTGTGTCGGCCTGCAGATATGCATGTTGTTGCATGCTTGGTAGTAAGAACAATCAGTGTGTACATGAATGTTGTTTAACCCTGCAATCAGCATATTTTAGCTATTCAATTGCAGTCTGTGAATAAAATAAGTATCTAAAAAATGAATTGCGATCCATGCCATGAGGACACGATAACACGCAATCAACCAAATCATTGTCTCTAATTACCCAGTATGACAACAAGCTTGGCATATTTGGGACCTATTAAAAATTATTAGAAATACCAATCTGTAGGATAGTAGATTGTGACACCCAGATGGTCAAGATGTATGAGAAGTTCAGTGCAGTATGCTGGATCTATAAAAGATAAGGCTTCATAACTCAACTAAAAAGCCATGAAAATCATGGTTGGCAGCCTTGAAAGCTTTGAAAAGGCCTTGAATTTTAGTGTTCCATATCTGTATGAACCATATCATGTACCATGCTTAAAGTATGTTTGAGCCCGCTAGGCTACTAAAATTTGATAAAACCTTGTCCTCTGTCATTTTCTGCTGACCTTGGTGGACATATCTGTTATGAGTTAGCTGTTGCACGTCATTTGGTACCCTAACATGAAGTGAACCCATGAAGGTCTGGGGTAGCATAGGTCTTCAGCAAGCCATGTTTGTCCTAAGAGTTGACTATGCTTATTGTAAGAGGTGAATAATGGGATCGGGTGGTCAGGCTCACTGACTTGGCTGATGCATGTCATCATATCCCAATTGCGTGGATCGATGCTCGTGATATTAATCACTGGATAGTCTGGTCCAGATTTGGTTATTAACAGACTGCCATTATATGGCTGGAATATTACTGAGTGTGGCTTTGACACGGCATATGTATACTACTCAAAAGAAGTTAAAGAACACCCTATTCTTTCATGTTACAACCTAAGATTTGATAAATACAATTCAACCTCTTCAAGTGTGTAGGTGAGTTGCAGTAAGAGATATGCTTGGCTTCTGGGTGCAGTTGTACAAAGCCATCTTAGTGATAAAGTGATCGTAACTCCCATACCTTAACATAGACTTACGACAGTTGTAGTGGTAAGGTCGTTTTTTACAGCGGCACTCTGGTAAATACTCTTGACAAGTTGCCAGGGCAACAGTCTACACCACTGGAGTACAATGACACGCAGTCAACAAAGTAACACATTGCAACCACCAGATTGTCATTTTGATCATCCCTTATGACAAGCATCAAGTTCTGGGGACCTAGATGTCTCCAAAATATCTTGAGGATCAGTTATTATGAAATCAGGAACAAGTCATTTTCTATAATGTTGCAACTAACAATCAATTGCAGTTTTGAAGAAGATAGTGTAAGACTACATGACTGTTTCCAGGTGGGCATATTTTGGGAAAGACGAACTGCGAGCACCTGTCTTTAAGTGGAGGAAGTTTTACCTGCGACAATGGTCCTGTGAGAAATCCCCATGATGAGACGAGGAACACAGGGGGCTCCAGCTCTGGCAGTGGAGCCCTGGTGAGTACAGTAGAGCCCTGGTGATTTCAGTGGAGCCCTGGTGAGTACAGTGGAGCCCTGGTGAGTTCAGTAGAGCCTTGGTGAGTACAGTGGAGCCCTGGTGAGTTCAGTAGAGCCCTGGTGAGTACAGTAGAGCCCTGGTGAGTACTGTGGAGCCCTGGTGAGTACAGTGGAACCCTGGTGAGTACAGTGGAGCCCTGGTGAGTTCAATGGACCCCAGTTATGTACAGTGCAGCCCGGGTAAGTTCAGTGGAGCCCTGGTGAGTTCAGTGGAGTCCTGGTGAGTTCAGTGGAGCCCTGGTGAGTTTAGTGGAGCCCTGGTGAGTACAGTGGAGCCCTGGTAGTACAGCGGAGTCCGGGCGAGTTCAGTGGAACCCTGGTGAGTTCAGTGGACCCCAGTTATGTAAAGTGAAGCCCGGGTGAGTTCAGTGGAGCCCTGGTGAGTTCAGTGGAGCCCTGGTGAGTACAGTGGAGCCCTGGTGAGTTCAATGGACCCCAGTTATGTATAGTGCAGTCCGGGTAAGTTCAGCGGAGCCCTGGTGAGTTCAATGGAGCCCTGGTGAGTACAGTGGAGCCCTGGTGAGTACAGTGCAGCCCGGGTGAGTTCATTGGAGCCCTGGTGATTTCATTCGACCCCAGCTATGTACAGTGCAGCCCGGGTAAGTTCAGTGGAGCCCTGGTGAGTTCAGTGGAGCCCTGGTGAGTTCAATGGACCCCAGTTATGTACAGTGCAGCCCAAGTAAGTTCAGTGGAGCCCTGGTGAGTTCAGTGGAGCCCTGGTGAGTTCAGTGGAGCCCTGTTAAGTACAGTTGAGCCCAGGTAAGTGCAGTGGAGCATTGATGAGTACAGTTGAGCCCTGGTGAGTAGAATGGAGCCCTAGTGAGTAGAATGGAGCTCTGAATCTTTGAAGATATAATGTAACTATATATATGTTCACCACTTTGGTCGTATAGGATAGTGGTGTATAAGGTCATTCAAAACCAGCTGCTTTCACAGATTTGATAGCAACCTGTTAGTCAAGTTGACCATAGCAACAACATCTCAGTTTTAAACAGGGCACTTATGTTAAGACCTATTCCAGTAATGAGCACAAGCCTCTTACACTAACTACTGACAAACAATTAGGAGATAAACCTACTGTGTTTTGAAATTTGATGTAGTCCCACTGTAGAATAGATACCTCTTTATTATAATTTTGAACCGAGCGCTTTAGCGCGAGGTTCCAAATTATAATAAAGAGGTTTCTATTCTACAGTGGGACTACATCAAATTTCAAAACACAGTAGGTTTATCTCCATTCTACCATGACGGCAACAACGCTTTGAAAACGGCGCTCTCTTGCAACGCGTAATAACACAGGTGCACAGGTCCGTGATCTTAGAACATTCCGAAAAGTGGTCACAGGTAGTTATATATGTAACAAATATTACTAAAGTTCAAGATTAAAAAACACCAAAGTCGTGAGTAGTTCAAAATAAGTGTTCAAAACACATAGTTTTTCAAACGAAGTTGACAAATAACACTCCTAACTTAATCCAAAGAGAGATGTTTTAATTTCTTTCAAACTGTTGCACACTATTGAACACTGTGGACTGGCTGTCGTTTCTCGGAAATTTGTGAGAGCGGTCATTTCTTGGAAATCGAACATGCCATCATTTCTATTGTAGGGGTGACGGGTAATAGAAAAAGGTTTTAAAATGCTAAACGAATATATTTCTACAGCAAACTTTATGAAATAACATTCTAATACACATTTAACATGTCTAAGAGTTATTAGTTAGATAGCAATTACCCCCAGTAAACAATAATAACATCAAAGTAAATGCCTCTCCACCCCGAACTTGGATGTGGCAGAACTTGACCTAAATCACGGTTACTCACACCTGTCAATGGCTGACAATCATGTGTTTACATTGACTTGATATAGTTAAAAGAAGCAAGATGACAACCCCGATCTATGATGTGGTTCAACATTTACCTGTAGATTTACTGGGATTGATCGAGCCTGCTGGTACATCCATATGATTACCAATGGAACTGAGTATGACTGAACAGCCGCTGTTTAGGCTGCAGACGAGCCGGATATTTTGAAACGAGGAATCTGCATGGTGTGACCTGTCAATTTCAAGATTTCACGGATCCAAAGCCAAATAGTGACAGAACTTAGACATTTCTGGTCCAGAAATAGTACGTCGTGTATAATTTTCATAATTGTGCGTGTTCTGAAATGGATTTCATCAAGTTTGATAAGCTGTCACTTCAGTTGGGACATTGTTTTCGTGGACTTTCGAAAGGGAGTGTTTTCTGATGCACTTTCAAATCCCCTCCTGCCAAATTCTAACGGTGGTGGTTGACGGAGATGGTAATGGATATCGATCAGAAAAAGGTTTGTAAACACCATGTTGTCATGAATAAAATGTCTTCAAACACATTTTCTTATGTTATATTTCACTTTCATTGTCGGTTATTTCAATAATGAAATTACCTGTTCGTGGGTTTCAGAAAAAGTTACCAAAAAAATGAACAATTATTATTTTCTCAACAAAATTTATTAGATATCACTCTTTGAAAGTCTTTCACTTATTTTGATGTGTGAATCTTTTAATTATACCTCCCCACCCTGAAATGAGAACCGTCCTAACGTGTCCCGGTTGTCACTGTATCTGCACTACACTCTGTTATGGCTGCCAAAGAAATTGTTAACAGTAACAGTGCTGTTAAAGAATTGCAGGAAACCAGAAGACAACCCAGTACTGATGCACAGTGTGATATGCTGTTCAACATTAACACGTTGACTAACTATCCCTGCTGATGTGATGTTGTTTTTTCAAACAATTTTTATGGTGTTATATTTTACTTTCATTGTCGGTTGTTACAATGAGGAAATAGCTTAACTTGTTCCGATTCTGTTCACCATAGAACATTTCTCTAACAGTTGTATGCAAAAGATATGCCTTCGTTAAATCTTTTAATGTCATCATCGAAGCAGTCAGGGTTGCGGCCTAGAACGCCCCAAATATCCGATATCAAACTACCGTATTTCCTCTATTTGACACTATACGCCGTCTATTAATTTCGCAAGAGCCCTTGACTCGGTGTGTATTAGAGACCCGTCTGGTATTAGAGACCCAGCGTGTATTAGAGGAAATATAGATATGTTTTACAGTTCATATGGGGGTGATCGATCGGCAGCCATTTTCTGTGAATCGATATGTAGGCTATCTATGTATTCATATGCACGTTTTTTGTGTGAAAAGGCTTAATATATTTGAAAGGGGTTTCCGTAGCAAAAAGGAAACCTCTTTTTAACCAATCAGAATCAAGCATTCATCAATGTCATGGTAGAATGGAATTTGTTCTGAGCTTCAGTTATATCGATGATCTGATATCGATGATTAATGGTCAAATAGCCAATTCCCTTCTACTGATTTACTCACCTGAACTAGAAATTAAAGTGAAACAGTGAAACAGCCTTATCACAATTAGATCTGTGCATAAAAATGAAGAGAGAGACACAAAACTATCTTCAAGACCATGACAAGTGTGATGACTTTTGAATAGTCAACTTTCCCTTTATGTTTAGCAATGTTTCAGCAGCTCCACCCTTTGGTGTTGACATTTCACAAATTTTGAGGTACAAAACAGCATGCTTTTTCTCCCAAGAGCATCATATGACTGTTGTTCAAAACTTGTTTGATCAAGGTAACAATATTTAAGGCCTTAGTAAAGGTTTCTAAAAGTTTTGCGGTAGACGTTTGGAGGACATTTCCAAATTTGACACATCAGTGACCAAAATGATGTCCGATGCAAGTCCTTATTTCGACCTGTACAATATGTCCACGTTTTTCAGATGAACAATTGACTTGCCTTTCATGTGTTTGTGATGGGTGTCATGGGTGGGACAGGATGCTCTAACCTCTCCGTGAACAGCTGGTTGCATCACTTGCAATGTGATTCATAAATGCAACTGTGCAGAGCTTTCTTTTTGATTATGTAAATGGTTTTGTCGCTTTTCTTTTTTTTTAAATCAAACTTGTTAGGATTGACTCATTGAGTGCACTTAACCTCTATTTGTGTTGATCCTGTGTATGTATTTTCCAGGTTGCAGCAGGTCAGCTGGACATGGCTCTAGGGGGAGACCAGGGAGGCTCTATCAGGATCCCAGCCAGCTGGTGTGGCATTGTGGGACTGAAGCCGACACATGGACTGGTTCCTTACACTGGGGCCATGCCCATTGAAATCACCATGGACCATCTTGGACCAATGACCAAAACAGTGTTTGATTGTGCCTTGATGCTGGAGGTGAGTTTTACACCTGTGACCCAAAACAGTGTCTGACTACAATGCCCTGATGCTAATTGAGTCTTTGTCCCGGGCCCAAACAATGTCCGACTATGTCTTGATAATAGAGATGAGTCTTTGACGTGTTACCAAAACAGTGTCTGACTACAATGCCCTGATGCTAATTGAGTCTTTGTCCCGGGCCCAAACAATGTCCGACTATGTCTTGATAATAGAGATGAGTCTTTGACGTGTGACCAAAACAGTTTCTGACTACAATGCCCTGATCCTAATTGAGTCTTTGTCCCGGGCCCAAACAATGTCCGACTATGTCTTGATAATAGAGATGAGTCTTTCACCTGTGACCAAAACAGTGTCTGACTACAATGCCCTGATCCTAATTGAGTCTTTGTCCCAGGCCCAAACAATGTCCGACTATGTCTTGATAATAGAGATGAGTCTTTGATGTGTGACCAAAACAGTGTCTGACTACAATGCCCTGATCCTAATTGAGTCTTTGTCCCGGGCCCAAACAATGTCCGACTATGTCTTGATAATAGAGATGAGTCTTTCACCTGTGACCAAAACAGTTTCTGACTACAATGCCCTGATCCTAATTGAGTCTTTGTCCCAGGCCCAAACAATGTCCGACTATGTCTTGATAATAGAGATGAGTCTTTGACGTGTGACCAAAACAGTGTCTGACTACAATGCCCTGATCCTAATTGAGTCTTTGTCCCGGGCCCAAACAATGTCCGACTATGTCTTGATAATAGAGATGAGTCTTTGACGTGTTACCAAAACAGTGTCTGACTACAATGCCCTGATGCTAATTGAGTCTTTGTCCCGGGCCCAAACAATGTCCGACTATGTCTTGATAATAGAGATGAGTCTTTGATATGTGACCAAAACAGTGTCTGACTACAATGCCCTGATCCTAATTGAGTCTTTGTCCCGGGCCCAAACAATGTCGGACTATGTCTTGATAATAGAGATGAGTCTTTCACCTGTGACCAAAACAGTTTCTGACTACAATGCCCTGATGCTAATTGAGACTTTGTCCCGGGCCCAAACAATGTCCGACTATGTCTTGATAATAGAGATGAGTCTTTGACGTGTTACCAAAACAGTGTCTGACTACAATGCCCTGATGCTAATTGAGTCTTTGTCCCGGGCCCAAACAATGTCCTACTATGTCTTGATAATAGAGATGAGTCTTTGACGTGTGACCAAAACAGTTTCTGACTACAATGCCCTGATCCTAATTGAGTCTTTGTCCCGGGCCCAAACAATGTCCGACTATGTCTTGATAATAGAGATGAGTCTTTCACCTGTGACCAAAACAGTGTCTGACTACAATGCCCTGATCCTAATTGAGTCTTTCTCCCAGACCCAAACAATGTCCGACTGTGTCTTGATAATAGAGATGAGTCTTTGATGTGTGACCAAAACAGTGTCTGACTACAATGCCCTGATCCTAATTGAGTCTTTCTCCCAGACCAAACAGTGTCCGACTGTGTCTTTAAGCTAGACGTGAAACTTTGTCCCAGACCAAACAGTGTCCGACTGTGTCTTGAAGCTAGACGTGAAACTTTGTCCCAGACCAAGCAGTGTCTGACTGTGTCTTGAAGCTAGACGTGAAACTTTGTCCCAGACCAAACAGTGTCTGACTGAGCCGTCATGGTCGAGGTGAGTCTTTGACCTGTGACCCAAACAGTGTCTGACTGTGCCCTGATGCTACAGGTGTTCCTCTGACCCTGTCCTAGCCTATCCATGATGGAATAGGCCATGTAACTAGAGATGATGGCTTTAAGATTATTAATTTTATCAGCTCCTTATCAACGATCGGTGTACCTGCAATTATTTCTGGTGTATCCAGAATATTGCTGGTGTTGGCATAAATCCACATTCACTCACTCACCCTCCTATGTTACAGGTGCTTGCTGGTTATGACGATGGCCGGGACCCAAGACAACTGCCCCATATAACTGTTCCAGAATACACAAAAGAGGTAGGTTCATAGCACACACAGCATGAATGCTGATATATAGCAGAAGTATCTGCTAATGCCTGTGTGTATTCTATAGACAGAAATTGTGTCAAAAGTATATTGCAGTTCAGATAGTAATATGTCTGTCGTTGTTACAGCTTGAGTCTGGCATCTCCGGCAAGAAGATCGGCGTGTTGAAGGAAGGGTTTGACGTGTGTACGGAGCCTGACGTGGTGGAGATAGTGAGGAGAGAAGTGGATAGACTGAAGAAAGCAGGGGCGGAGGTGGAGGAAGTATCACTGCCCACTCACTTGGATGGTAGGGGCAACATTTACTACATTAGAAAGAAAGACCCGTGAAGATCCGGGGTAGAATAGGACTTCAGCAACCCATGCTTGCCGTAAAAGGCGACTATGCTTGTCGTAAGAGGCAACTAACAGGATCAGCTGGTCAGCCTCGCTGACTTGGTTGATGCAGGTTATTGTATCCCATTTGCGTGGATAGATACTCATGATATCAATCACTGGATTGTCTTGTCCAGACTCGATTATTTACAGGCTGCCGTCACGTTGCTGGAATATTGCTGAGTGCGGCATTAGCAACAAATAAACTAACAAAAACATTTGAATAATTAAGGAGTGCTTTGTGTTTAATGCTACTTGGAACAATTTCCAGCTACGTCATAGCATCCACGTAAGGTAGGGGAGGAGGCCAGTGTGACACAGGGTGCAGATGTTTACCACTTTGTTGAAACCCATGTACATACTAGAGGTGTGACGATAGAGTTACATTATTTTTCAGTTTGACTGTTCCAGTCATTAGGGGAATGTTATGCTTCATTTGGATACTTAGGAAAATTAGTTCGAGACAACTGAAAATTTTTGACACGCCCAGTTCAACAGGTCCGAGTATAAATGATGATAAATATAGAAGGTATTCGCAGGGACAGGAAGGTGAGTTAAAGAAAAATTCTACACATCCAAGTTCAGCACAGCAAAGTTCGACTATACATCAATTTCATGTACCATGAAATAATAGGATGACAAGGTAGACACAATTTTATGGATAACAACTTCTTTTATACTGTAAAAAGCTCCTTATACCGTTGTCAAACAAGACGTCTATACCAAAATGTCGCTTTTTACAGTATTAAAGAAGTTGTTATCCATAAAATTGTGTCTACCTTGTCATTCGTCAACTTCTAAGTAATGCCTATCAAACAATTTAATAATAGTATTGTCTCCATTTATGTTCAGAAATTTATTTAAAAATTCCACTAGTCCTGTGGATACCACTATGTACAGTAAACTACCGTTATAACAAACTAAAATGGACCTCTCATTTTAGTTTTGTATAAGGGGGCACGGGTGGCCCAGTCGTCTAAGGCGGCGCGATTCGCTGTGCAGAGTTGCGTCCCTTGGGCACGCCAGAAACCTATGATTGTGGGTTCGAATCCTGGTTCGCCCCGATTATGTTTCTAGGTTTGTCAGCACCATACCCGTGCTCGTGGGTTTCCCTGAAGTGGTAAACGTCTGAGACCTGCATCACTTGGGGTTTTCCTCCCACATTAAGCTGACACGCCGTGATATGACTGGAATACTGTTAAAAGCGGCGTTAAACCTAACTTACACACTCACACTAGTTCGTTATAACCGTAGTTCATTTTATACGCTTATATACAGCATATATACTGCAGTTAGACGGTACCAAAAAGTAAGTTCATTATATCGGTCAGTTCGTTATAAGCATGTTTGTTATAAATGTACTTTACTGTATATTAGTCGTGACTATATGTCAAGTGCCAGAGTCTAAAGTGATGTTTTTACATGAAGACCCGAGGTGTTTTGAAAAGCGCCCACTGTGCAGTGTGTTTCCCCTTCAGGTCCTGCCATCTGGAATGCAGTCATCCTTCAAGGGGCCTACAACTGTATGGTAAAAGGGAATGGTGAGTGGGAGGAAGTCTTCGTCCAATCATTGGCCATCATATGATTCGAGTGAGTGAGTGAGTGAGTTGGGTTTAATGCCGCTTTTAACAGTATTCCAGTTATATCGTGGTGTGTCAGCTTAATGTGGGAGGAAAGCCCCAAGTGATGCAGGTCTCAGACGTCTATCACTTTGGTGAAACCCACGAGCACGGGTATGGTGCTGACAAACCTAGAAACATAATCGGGGCGAACCGGGATTCGAACCCACAATCATAGGTTTCTGGCGTGCCCAAGGGATGCAACTCTGCACAGCAAATCGCGGCGCCTTAGACGACTGGGCCACCCATGCCCCCCTCATATGATGCGAACATTTCATGGACATGCACTAAAAACAGATGAAGTTTCTGTTAATTTAAAAATGAATCAGCCTGTTATTCTGTGAATAGTGATGATTCCTGGAATGGGCACATGAGCATATAAGAACTGTTTGTTTCTTGCATTCTCACCCATGAATGAATAGAAGATGATTAGAAGCGATCTTTCTGTTTGTTCTGGGTACCAGACCACCGTAAAATAAAATGTGTTTGGTAACTATCAGAGAATTCAGAGCTCCAGATAAGCTTTTGGTGTTGTGGGTATTTTACCCATACATTTTAAAATCATTGGGTATCAGTAATTCTATCTGGGTATTCAAATTTCTGTTACCCACTATTTTTTATCCCCCCCGGCATATAATGCGGGGGGGATATAGCGATCAGCCAGTCTGTCTGTCCGTCCATCTGTCCATCTGTAATCATTTCCTATTCCGGGGCAGAATTCCAAAACCATTCATTGTATTTGATCGAAACTTGGCAAATCTATCAGGCACATACTGAAGTGGTGCCTTTTGATATTTTGGGATTTTTCTAATTTTTATTTTTTTAAATTTTTATGGAATGAAGTTGGACATAGACCTCAATTGGGGATGGGGTTCGTTTCCGGGCAGAATTCAAAAACCATTCAGTGTATTTGATCGAAACTTGGCAAAGCTATCAGGCACATACTGAAGTGGTGCCTTTTGATATTTTGGGATTTTTCTAATTTTTATTTTTATCCCCCCGGCATATAATGCGGGGTGATATAGCTATGGGCATGCCCATCCATCCGTCTGTCTGAATCATTTTCGGAGCAGAACTCGAAAACCGTTAAATATTTCTTCATCAAACTTTTTGTTTATATCATTTAAGTGGTGAAGTTGTGCCTTTTGCTATTTTGGAATTTTTGCAATTTTGTTATTTTCCAATTTTGAAGAAAGCATGCTGGACATAGGCTAACTTTGTGAGTGATGTTTGTTTCCGGAGCAGAACTCCAAAACTGTTAAAAATTTCTTCATCAAACTTTGCATTTATATCACTCAACTGGTGAAGTTGTGCCTTTTGCTATTTAGGAATTTTAGAAATGTTTATCTTTTACGTTTCCATGGCAACAAGTTGGACTTAGGTTCTATAAGGGTGGTGTTCATTTCCGAAGTGTAACTCAAAAACCATTAAATACTTTCTTACAAATCTTTGCATGTCTACCAGGCACATACTGAACTGGTGCCTTTTGCTATTTAGGAATTTTATAAATTTTAAATTTTTACATTTCCATGGTAACAAGTTGGACTTAAATTCTATAAGGGTGGTTTTCGTTTCTGGAGCATAACTCAAAACCCATTCAAAACTTTCTAACAAAACTTTGCATGTCTATCAGACTCATGCTGAACTGGTGCCCTTTGCTATTTAGGAATTTTATAAATTTTTATTTTTGACGTTTCAAAGGCAATAAGTTGGATTTAAGTTTTAATGTACAGAAACACACTTGTTTTACTTTCCGTTTCATATGGATGCGACCATGGTGGATCTTTTGTGGGTAAACAATGTATGCTTCTTCAAGAACATTCAACTCTTGACTCATTACATACAGAATTGCACATTTACTTGTGGTTACTTTACAAACAACTGCCGGGGGGATATGTCATCTTTCTGATGACTCTTGTTACACATGTGGGTATTTAAGTTAAATATTTAAAAACACTATTCATCTAGTCCCTGCAAACTGGTGTCGTGTGGGTTCGAGAGCTTTATAGGACTCAAAAATACCACGATACTTCCGCAAGAAAGTGTGATGGCAAATGATCGTGATGTACATGTAACTGTTTTTTATTTTACTGCATATTTCTGCATCTCTGAAACGTATTTTACGCAGATACGCAGCTTATCTGGAGCTCTGAGAATTGCCACAATAATGCGAAATCCTCAACAATTTTAGAAGTAACGTTTTACATGATGCAGAAATGTGCATCCAGTGCACATAAATGTAAAGAATGGACATTGACAAAAAATATTTATCATCCAAAACTGACTCCCACTCTCGATTGGGTGAGATCAAGTGATATCTACATTGTAGATATCGATGCAATGAAATTGCATCACAATGCTTTGCAGACCATTGTGACATCATTGGTTACCATGACGTCACAAACAAATGACATCACTAATGATATTCATTGTACTAAATTCTTGACAAGAAGTACGAAGGTCCTGTAAGTAAAGTAATTATCAAATCCTACGGTACAGTACACTACACTACATTTCATCCCTATTAGTATTAGGGGGTCCCATGGTTCCCCTAGGTTGTTAGGTCCAGGTAAAACCCTGGGCCCTGTTCCTCAAAGCGATCTTAGCGCTAAGGTGATCGTAAGTCCCATACTTTAACTTAGGGTTACGATCATCGTTGCGCTAAGATCGCTTTGAGGAATGGGGCCCAGATCTACATCTAACGTTGAATGCGTCATCTGCATATCAAATTAAGGGCAGTGACAATACAAGTATATCTTCAGGAAATGGACTCTTCTGGAAAGGGTTTTATGGAGTTTCCCTCCAAGAGGCGGTGTCGAGAGGCTTGTACACGAGGCCCCAGGACATGTCCGGAATTCTGAAGTCGTTCTGTCTGATGGCTGAGTACATGGACAGAAAGTACGAGAACAAGTTCTACGCCCAGGGACAGAACCTCACCATGATGCTGACCAGAGCTTATGACAGTGTTCTGGCAAAGTATGATGTTCTGGTGATGCCAACACTGCCCTATAAGGCATCGAAGATTCCGTCATCTGATTCTACACTGAAAGGTTAGTGAGGTTAAGGAATTTATCTTGTAACCATGGTGACTGTTTCATGTTTTGGAATTTGAAAGTTGTACATGAAGAAATGAAGGAATGTGTCATAATCCCAGAATTGTATGTGGTTTCCTGTCGACAGTAATATATTTGTGCACTGAAGGTACTCGTAGGAGTTTCTTGGTCATTGTGTCTGGTAAATAAAGAATCTCTTTTGATCAATTAACATGATTCAATTAAAGAATGAAACTGAGGCTTTCATATCAAAAACATGAGTGAGAATGTACTTGCAATCCAATATCATTCAGAATTATTTTTTACAAAAACAATGAATTGATTCGAGGATGACATTGATTTTTTTTAACCATCTTAAAATTATTAGGTCAGATCGCTGTGCAAGAAAATATCAAAATACACTTCTTTAATTTATGAATTTATAACTTATTTATGTAACGGTACGAAAAATCACAACTTAAATATTGTATTGGAACATGTGTTCATAATATGCTGCAATTGTTTTTGTGTGTGCGAATTTTTTTGTTAAATTAATCACGCTGCAAACTTTGTGTTCCTCATAATAAAGAAGTTGACATCCATATATTCTTTTCCTTTTGTGAATATTAGTTTTCCCCAAATGTGGGCCCAGTTTTTTATGTCATATAATAATACAGTGATTAAAGTCTTTTTAAGTTGGTAAGCTTCATTGGGTTGACATAGTGGGCCCTTGTTTTTTTTTTTTGGTATGGATATATAACAAAGGATAGTATTCTAGTCTTGCTACATTGATGGGAAATGTCTTATAAATTAGTTATTTAGTGTGTCAGGACCTCTGTGATAGGTACTCAAAGTACACAAAGTTTCAACAGGATCACCAGCTTACTTTTTATTATCACACATTACCAACGACATCTGACCGAATATTTCTTCACTTCCAGAGCAGCTGGAGGTGGGACTCACAATGATCACAAACACCTGCCCTTTCGACAGCACCGGTCATCCCGCACTCTCCATCAACGCCGGCTTCAGCGAGGGGCTCCCCATTGGGATGATGATTGTGGGCCGTCACTATGACGAGACGACCATTCTCAAGGTTGCCCGCGCCTATGAGAAAATTCGAGACACAAAATGAGGTCGTGCCGTGAAAAATGAGATGAGATCATGAAAACGTGATGTTGATCAAGTGGTAAATTTTGGAATCTCATCTCTTCACTTATAGTAGATAATTGGAACCAAATTATGATACGTATCTCACTGAAATGTTACTTCATCAGAAAATAATGGCAAAAGGTTATCAGGCTAATAGTGTCAAGTTTTTCGCACAGCCTGCATATAATAGGTATTTGTGTTGTTTCCCCCGAACTCAGTGTGTCTACGTCTCTATGCTGTCAGGCGTAAGGTGTGTGAAGTTTCATTGTGGAGAAGGTCCACAATGTCTCCTCAACACCCCTCCTCGATAACCCTCAGGAAACTTTGAACTTGCCTTCGAATAGACTACACAAGACTACAGTTTGACAAGACTACAGTAGAATAGAGTTTGACTTGAGTAGGCTTTGACTAGACTAGCCTTATAACATTGGTATTGTACTTATCCTGATAATGGGATTGAGAAATGGTAGAATGTAGGGCTGTGACGAGTCCAAATTTTCTACCCGGGTACCAACACCCCTATTACCCGACCTTACCCGCTGTTGGTGTCAAGAGATAGGTACCAAATGTCCGATTAGGAATAGTTTGACAGTGGCACTGGCAGAATGTATCTAGATACACGTATAAAACAGTGTGGTCATGCTTACACTGAAGTTGACTGATGTTTTAGCTTTGTTCAAACATATATAAGACAGAAGGAACGTGTTCATAGTCATGAAGAAATGCGAACATTAGAGACTTGAAATCCTGTGGTTGTTTACCCTGTCCCATTAGTCATTCACTGGCTTCCAATCATCTTAATCAGCTCTCTGTGTCCATCTATCAGTTTACTGTATAAACATTGATGTTAGTAAGTATATATACCTATGTTGTCAAGTACTATCCATCACTTGCTTGATAAAGGTTTTAGGATCGCACCAATTGTAATAAAGAAGTTGTTCATCCATAGAACTTGTCTTTCTTTAGACTTGAAATTGTCGTGTAACCATGTAGATATTGTGAGATTGTGGCAGAACTGTCTTGTCTTTAGTGGGTTGTGTACTGGTCTTTGTATCCCTGCTGAGTGTTACCTTTTAGCTCACCTGAAGTGAACTTATGTCACGGCCTGCATGTCATGCATTCTTTCCCGTCTGCATCAGAGTTTGTAGTCATCTTCTCCTCTCCCAAGAATCACAGATGCTGAAACTTGACACACTGTTTCAAACCAATGATGGAACCTGAATATTTTCACAAGGTTTCAATCTGTTTTCCAAAATGCCTGCCATGGCCAGAAAGCATACACAGGATCAGAGTTAAAACTTCATTTATGTAAATTTATACAATGTTACGTATCATGTTCATTGTTGATGATTGAGAAATGTTGACATGTGATATTTTTTACATATTTGTCAATACTTTCATCCTCAATATTATACGGAAAACGCTGACAGCACACATTCTTATATGGCTGTCTTTGTTGACATTTTAAACTGTTTACAAGTTAACCAGGAGAGCTACAGTACCTTGGCACTACATACATTTTTATCATAATATACCAAGTTTAAACATTAGTTTAAGATTAGAGATTTCATGTATAGATATAGTCAGAATCGTCCAGTGGAGTCTTCTTTGAGCAGAGAATTGTTATGATTGTGATTTCTTATGATTATGGGGGGCAGTTGGTTAGCCTTGTGGTTAAAGCGTTTGCTTGTCACGCCGAACACCCAGGTTTGATTCACCACGAGGGTACAATGTGTGAAGCCCATTTTCCTTTGTCCCTCACCGTGATATTGCTGGAATAATAATAAAAAGGCGTAAAACCAAACTAACTCACTCTTATTATTATGGAATGTGTTTTGTCACCTTTTGTTTATATATTAAAGAGTTGACATTATGCCAGATAAAGACAAGACCATATATTTCAGTACAATACATTAATATAATATGATGAAGCATGCATAATGGAGTGAAATGGGTTCCAATCTGAGTTCGCCCCAATTATGTTTCTAGGTTTGTCAGCACCATACCCGTGCACAAGACATCTTCCAAAAAAAACCATGCCTACACAACCGCATCTAAAAAAGTACAACAAACAAGCTGTCCATACACCCTAAAATTCTAAACCTATAAATAAAAACACAGAAACTCACAATAATAATAAAATAATTAGAAAATCTATTTTCAAGATGGCGACCATTTTATTGAAAAAGAAATAAATATTTGATATTATGTGATACATAATTTGCCAAATCCAGTACATTTCCCAGTCGTGAGGAATCATCAGTTCCACAATGTATGAAGAATTTTTTCCGTCAACTCCTCGAAGGACCTAAATCATCACCAGAACAAAATAATTCAAGGAAGGTCCTCTCTGTGAGTCAAGTGGCCATGCTAAATATGACTTCTCTTTCAGCGAACTTTAATTGTGAGTCTCCACTTACTGTGTTCCTAGCCCTCAAATTGCATTCCGAAACAAGCAAAAAATTGGTAGAACTGCTGCACACTTATGATCTGAGTGTGTCATATACGAAAATCCTCACCATCGAACGTAACTTTGCTCAGGCTATTGCCGATCAAACAAAGAACAAAGCTGAAATGGTCTGTCCTACAAATTTGCGTACACATATTTTCACAGTTGCAGCTCTAGATAACTTGGATCATAATCCAACATCACGCACTGCAAGCTCATCGTTCCATGGGACTGGTCATGGTCACTACCCTGCAGAAGCTTGTGCCTCTGTTCTTTGCTCTGGATCACCAGAATTATGTCAGGTGGATTCCAATCTTTATCCCAGACCTGGAAGCTCTCCCGCATAGCATCCAAGTAGAGTTTGAGAAGGGACACTGGACGATAACTCGAAGCAATCGGCGTTTCTCATCAGAACAACTGACCATGCTCTTGAGCAAGCCAATAAAAAGGTGAAAGGAGTAGTTGGCATTATTGGTCTGACCGAAAACCCTGCCATGCTGGAACGCTGGATTATAAGTGGCCCAGAAATAAGCTGTGTTGTAGAGGAGTTTACCCGGGCATATGACAATGCTGATGATGAAGAACTCTCTCGTCATGAGGAAGGATATGCATCTCAGCTCCGATTTCAACGTCATGCCAGAGACCTGACCGATGTGTTGCTAAGGAAAGGAAATCCTTTTGAGGAGGGCAGTAACGACCTGGTTACATTAGACAACAAGGTGTGAGAGTCTGTGGCTGCTGCCGAATCTGTCTATAAAATTGAGTCTGTTTGACAAGAGCAGTACAATAATAACAGAAGCGTGCTTGACTCAAACGACACACTTCTGACAGCGCCTATCAAGCGAAACAACTTACTCTTGTTCTACGAGAAGAAACGATAGAAGAAGACAGCAGTTAAGCTGAAAATGCACCACTTCAAACATCATGCTGAACTTTATGGTCAAGCATTTCTTATGCTAGACAGCCGTGGGGGTGGGGGGATTTGGGGGAGTTTTGTCATCTGAAGGATCCCTCAACTCTTGTACCAAGTCGGATTTATATCTTGGAAACCAGTACGAGTAGTGCCATTTCAGTTGATGAAGACGTAGCTGCACCGGATGTGTATAATTTCATTGTTATTGACGGTTGAATTCTCATGTACTCACTTCCTGGTACAAGTGTCCAAGGCAAGAACTTTGACTCATATTTCGACAAGGTGTTCTGCCCAAGAGTTCACCATGACTTGAAAAGATCAACCAGAGTAGACATTGTCCGGGACGAGTATTTTACACTGACAATCAAAGGAGGCAAAAGGGAAAAAAGAGGAACAGGTACGCGACAACGTGTAAATGGTACTGCCAAAATGCCAGGAAATTGGCAGATGTTTCTGGCAAATGTTGACAACAAGAAGGAGCTGTTCAAATTCATATCAAACAAATAAAACAGAAGAACACTTCCCAGATGAGAAGGATGTTTATAAAACTACAGGTGATCAAGTACACCATGTTTGAAACAATCCATCAATGGGTAAATGCAACCACGAGGTAGCAGACACACGTGTCTTAATACATCTCCTCCATGCCCTCCAGACCTCGTCACTTGGAATGGTTCACACTGGAGACACAGATGTTGTCATAATACTCCTAAGTAATTTCCATCACATCAAAGCTCTGAATCCAGCTGCAGAAATCTGGATATCTCTCAAAGCTGGAAAGACAACCAGAGTGATCTCCCTGAACACTATTGCTAGGAATCTGGAGAATATCAAGAGAAGTGTAAGCATCTGGACGTCAGCTCGCATGTCAATGGTGCCTTTCAAGAACCCCACTGATCATGGGTGGAAGGTGAAAGGAAGAGGATAGCAAGCTGATTCCGATTTGGACCACAGTGCCCCCCCCCCCCCCCCCCCGCGAAGGATGTTTTCCATCTGGATGTAAAGTGTAATTGCACAAGCCTCTGTTCTCGGTGCAAGTGCATGAGATCAAAGTTGAAGTGAACACGTTTGTGCAAGTGCAAATGCGAGAAGTAGCTTGACAATTTCCAATAGGTTGATTTTGTGAACAGGACGTCCGTCTACTCAATTTTTCACCACAATGGCTGCCATCTTGAAAATGGTGGCCATTTTGAATTTGGAAATGTCATAATTGAATTTCCTGTCCCTGAAAACCCCTATTTTGATGGATCATATGACTCTCTACTAGCGATATCAGCAAAGTTATGGATTTTTTTAATAATGTTGGCGGCCATCTTTAAAAATGGCTGTCAGAAGACTCATTTTTTATGTGAGAGCTCGACACTCAGAGCAAAATTGTTCTACGAGGTCATACCTTCACACTAGTCCCGAAATCAAAACTTGTACATTAATTTGAAATGACTCAGTGTCTGGGCACCCCACTAAATGTAAAATACGTCAGTCACTCAACCAATTCATGTACTCAACCATCTCCACTATTATTTTCCCCAAAGATCAGATTAAAAACAGTTATCAAGATTTATTTACATATCTTTACAAGTACTTAATCTTTGCATGGAAACTGCCGTCTTGATGTTTTAGTCTGTATTGTATGACATTATAATTAGATATATGCTCCTGTTCCGTCGCTGGTGGTTTTATTCATGAGAAATAAACAGAATTTGGTTTGCACCCAACCATGCGCGTGCTAAATTATACAGCGTCAAGCGTTCAGAGCGCCAACGAAATTTTTTAAAGTAGAAATTAAGCAAAACGAACATTTATCAAATTTCTTATTGCTAGAACATATGCATATGCTGTTGTGGGTTTTCAAAATAATCTTCGTTCTCTCTGCTGTTAAGAATATTAAAACAACAATTACTATGATCGGAAATATATTACATCTTATTTACGCACCCGGATGCTCAAAACCTTAATACAATGCTAGTATCAGACATTTGTGTTCCAGGGAGTGAATACCCAATCGACGAGTACCAAGCCAGGTCTACAGACACTGGTTTTCTTTGAACTAAAAAAGCAGGGCATTCAGCTGTCGGGGCTATACGCCAGCTTGTGATTTTAATTAATTGTTACCAGATGGCCCCAGCTAGGGTAGCAGACGACACACAAACTGGTATGTTATGAACACGTTTCATCTAATGTTTTTAGCCATCATATTCCTTTTAAAAGCAACCAGGGTGAACTCGACAGTAAAGACTCAATTGCTATAAAATCGACGAGTCGTACACTTGAACTACCACGTGGCTCACGTGGTTTACATGATGGAGAGTCTAGTCCAGCTTGTGCACAAACTGGCCCTCTTAGCGAAAGTTGCTCAGTGGAAAATGACAATTCAGAATTATTTGTTAATAAATTTGGACAAATTAGTGTTATCAACATAAATGTGTGCGGTCTGAGAAAACGACTTAATTGTCCAGAGTTTTTGGATCTTGTAAATATTTTTAACTTTGTTGCTCTTCAAGAAACCAAAACAGATACACTCGATGATATTGAAATTGATGGTTTTAAACTGTTTTTAAAACACAGGAGCCTGGGTGACAGGCGTTCGGGAAGTATAGGCCTTGCAGTTAAACATTGTTTCTCTAAATATATCACTATATTAGATTTTGAATCGGATTACATACTATGTTTTAAACTATCTAAGTTAGCTTTCAATAGCAATGATGACCTTTTAATTGGTATTGTGTATCTTCCACCTGAAGGTTCTAAGTACGCCACTACAGACATGTTTGATCAGTTAGAACAAGCACTATTATATATGTACTCTCACACTGAAACTGTCATCCTTACAGGAGATTTTAATGCTCGTACTGGAACACTGTGTGAATATGTCTGTCTAGATAAACATTTGTTAGAGGAATTAGATATTGATACTGAAGAAATGTCAGATGACTTTGATCCTGAATCTGTTCTAGATGAACTCGGACTTCCACGTCATCGATACTCGAACGATAGTAACAAAATTAATAATTATGGTTACAAACTGATTGATATCTGTAAAAAAAATAATATATTTATTTGCAATGGAAGAATAGAAAAAGACCCAAAATCCGGAAATGTTACCTGTAAGGATACAAGTACTGTTGACTATGTCATATGTTCCAACAGCTGCCTGTCATATTTTAAGAGCTTTGAAATTGTTGATTTTTCTCCCCTATACTCAGATGTACATTGTCCTATACCTTTTTCGTTATCAAGTATGAATAGCAGAATGTATGGTAATGTACCTAAATCATCTACCAGTAAACCTGTAACAATTTCTACAAAACCCAAAAGATATGACTCATCAAAAACAAACCAATACAGGAACAATATTGATGTTACGCGGATACAAGATGTAAGCACATTATTAGATAAA